ATAATAATAAAATAAATGTTTAAAATGGAGACAATGAGAGGTTGGTATTGTCACACACTGGATTTGTGACCCCCCCACCCCACCCCAAGACATGGTCAAGTCCCAGTCCCTGGTACCTGAGAATGAGGCCTTATTTAGAAATAGCATCTTTGTTCTTGTGATTAAGTTAACGTGAGGTCCTCAGAGAGAACCCAATCTATTATGACTGCCAGGCTCCATGTTTCTGGGAAGAAGACAAGAGGAGACACCAGGAAGAACAAGGGAAGACAGAGGTTCTGCAGACTATACAGAGCAGGAGCTGAAAGGGTGGGACAGCATACTCCTAGGAGGGTTCAAATAGAGCTCAGCCACTGCCCTTGATTTCACCGTCAAAGCTTCAGAGCTGGGAGTGGCTAAATTCCTGTGATTCAAAGTTCTCAGATTTTAACAGCTCAGTTAGCATGGCCTTAGGACACCAACAAAGTGCCAGTTTGCTAGTGGAGCCAGGAGGGCATTGCAGCATCCAAGCTTCCTGCACAGGCATGGCAGCGCAGCAAGTGCCCTGTGGAAGCTGGAGGGCTGGTAAGAGAAAGTGCTTTCAGTTCATGAAATGCATGTGCATTCAGAGACCGGTTGAGCGGATGTGCTGTTCATCTGTCCTCTGGACCACTATTTCTATGTGAATATCTAGGCTCTATTGATGAAAAGTTTTAGCTTTCCTCTAATGGATACAGTCAACTTCAATCACATCCAAATTAGAGGAACCTTTGTTCTTCTTATTTAACTATTGTACCCAGTCTTAAAACTTCAAACATTCTTAAAATAGAGCTGGATATAGGTCAGTAGGAAAAATAGGTAGAAAAATCTATAGATAGACAAATGAAGAAAGACAACTAATGATACTTATGATGGAACTGTTCTAATCCACTACACCAACAACCTCAGATGAAGGTCAGACTTCTCAGGACACAACCAAGGTGCTGATGATAAAGTGATAAATAAGCAGATGTCATCCAGTCCAACAAAAGAGGAACAAGCTGTCCCTCATCCAAGCATTGGATCCATGATCAAAGGGGACCATTCTCAGAGTGGTTACAATGGATTAACTCATGTGTCCCCCAAAACAACCCAATTAGAAGATGGGATTATTATACCTATTTTATGGATATGGAAACACCCATTGTCCAGATAACTAGTTGTGCCAAGCTCTAAACTCAGGCAGGATGACTACACGCATACACTACATTATTAAACTATGCCATGTGTCCTTGGATGAGGCCTATGAATTCATTCCCTTTGTTGAGGGCTTCAGGGACATCAAACAAACCACAAACCACAGCACTACACCCTGCCCAAGTTCTGAATTCACCAATTGAGAAATAAGAAAATTCAACAGGAGGCCAAAACATCTCATTAATATAAGGGGAAGTCCTAAGAGAGCAGAGCCTTCTGTGAGAGCCAGAATGGATTGGCCATCTGCCCTCCCTCCAGGCGAGACCTTGCCACAACCATCTGCCCACTGAGCTGGAAGAGAACAGAAAGCAAAGTGACCTCATCAAGAAAGAAAGGCTGAGGGTTGGCCTCCTTCCTCTGCATGGGATGGGAGAGTGGGAAGTGGGTTCAAAGGCCAGCAGTGTTCAAGGAACATCACTGACCAGAACCAAGACAGTAGGAAAGAGGCGATTGGGGGATAACAGTCCTGTGCCATTTAAACTGAAACTGTCATCCAGGGCTGTACACACAGCATGCACCCGGGCCTTCTTTCCAGGCCTTAAACAGTCCTTTATTCATGTTAGAAGCACATTTAGCTTTATTCTGCAGGAAAATGAGGAGAAAGGCATACTTTTCAACTCACACTGAGTTAGGAAAGACACTGCCTACTTTACTAAGGTGTGGACCCAAAGCTGGGACAAAGCTGCAGAACTCAGTGGTCAAGTCATTGTCTAGCATGCCTGAGGATGTGGGTTCAATCTCCAGCACCACAGAATGAGAAATAAAACATAAGGGTCAAATATAGCCCTCACAAGCAGGTCTGCTGACCCAAAGCAAGGGAGAACTACTGGGGAATTGCACACCAAGGGGTGGGCAATGGGAGAAATGTTTTTGATGAGAGAGAGAAGGTTCTTGTTACTTTATGCAACACATTTCTGGGTGGTTCTCTGGCCCCTCCTTCTCACCTCACTATGCTTTACTCTCTTATTAATAAGGATTTTATCTGGCACCAGATAATAGGGAAAAACTTCCAAGTAAATACCCACTATTCTTGGGTAAAAGAATTGTAGAGCTGGACAATCCAAGGCTAATGTACTTGCTCTGTGAAGCCCTTGGGGACCCAGGTCCTTTTAGATGTTTTCTCCATCATCTCTAAAATGTAGTTATTGGCTTTGTTGTTCTATTTGGCTGCCAGCACTCCAGCCATTGCACCTGCATTACAGATAGCAAACTGTGGAAGACAAAGAGAGCATGCCTTTTTGGGAGCTTCATGTAACACTTCCACTTACCTTTTATCAGAACCTATTCTCGTGGCTATTACACACACATCTGCTGCCTACTGCTGCATGATGGCCACAAAACACACTGCTGGCTTTTTTTTTTTCCTTTTTGTACTTGTGCTAGTCAGAATAATTAATATTGTCCAACTATTCATGCTGTTAGCAACAGTAAGCATTGGGTCTTGCATCGCTGTCGGTTGGCTAGGGTTCAGCTCCACCAGGCTGACCACTGATGGGCCATTCTGATGCACATTGCAGGAGGTGGGCTGGCCCTCCTGCCAATGCAGGTCTGTGATGTTACCCCAGTTGCTCTTCCTCTTTGATGGTATAGCTCAAAGAGGAACCAAAACGAACACAAGTGAGGCCTTCAAGGTCTAGACACAGACAGCCCATTACCACCTCTACCCACAGGCCACTGAACAGGTGCATAGCCAAGGCCAAGGGCCAAGATGTATAACCCACCCATAATGATGACTTCACAAAGGTGTGACCTAGAGGAGGTAAAGAAAGAAAACCAGGGTGATAACACACATGACTAGAGTCAGACAATCCTTGGGAAGAAAAGGCAGGAATCCAGAGACATCGGCCACCTGGACACCTCTTGGAGTACAGTAGCTGTGTGAGATATCAGCACATGGCTTCTGCAATCACTATGATTCTCACTCTTGCCTCAAGGCATCATGTAAATTAAGAACACTAATAAGGAGCCAGGGAGAGAGGCAGTAGCCTGCAAGATGGCCATGGTACTTTCCACTGTTGAAAAGATGAAGCAGGAACAATCCTTTAATATTATTTATCTAAAAATATTAAGCCAAGAAAGAATAAATTCATCTCCAAGATGCCTCTGCCAGGAAACACCAGCCCACTACCCCACAGATGTCTGTACTCTGTGCTCTGAGGAGGGGCATCTGTGCTCCTTGTTACACAGAAAACACTGGACTATCAAGTCCTAAACTGGTGTTTAGACCTTAGTCCTACTTTCTATCAACATTATGACACTTTCAAAATTCATCCATCGTGTGTGTGTGTGTGTGTGTGTGTGTGTGTGTGTGTGTGCGCGCGCGCGCGCGCGCGCGTTCTCGAAGAGACCAGAGGACAACCTCAACTGTCCTTCCTCAAATGCTATCCATCCTGTTTTTTTTAGATAGCCTCTCACTGGCCTGAAGTTTGCCCAGTAGGCTAGGCTAGCTGGCCAATGAGTCCCAAGCATACTACTGTCTCCACCTCCCCAGTGCTGGGATTACAAACTTGCACCACTACACCCAGATTTTTTCATATGGGTTCTGAAGGAATCAAAGTCAGATCCTCATGCTGGCAAGAACATTGTACTGAGACATCCCCAAGGCCCACTTTGTACTGTCATTGTATTTGCTTTCATCTACCTGCAAGCTCATCCCAGCATCTTCCCCACATGCCAACATCCCATTTCAAGAAGCCCTGACCAATCCTCTCAGCCAGAGGAAATGTCTGTGAACCTAAGTCACAAGCTTTTTCCAAGTGTGTGAATATCACTACCACAGGCCTTTCCCAGGTGTGAGAAGCTCACGGTCACAGGCCTTTCCCAGTTGTGTGAACTTCACAGTCACAGGTCTTTCCTAGATGTGTGAAATTCATAGTCACAGGCCTTTCCCAGGTTTGTGAACTTCACAGTCACAGGCCTTTCCCAGGCGTGGGAACCCCACTAACCCACGCCTTTCCTAGGACAGGGCTTGACCACAAAATAAACTCCATACTTCTGTGTGTGGATCCCAGTATCTGCTTTGAGCATCTATATTGCCTACAAAGACAGGCCCAGGCCATCCTGCAGCCATCTAATGCTCAAGCAAAAGATGGAGACAGAATGTGAGCACTTTGCTCATTAGAAGACAGTCTAGCTTCTGGGTTACGGCAATCAGATGGGGGAGAGCATAGCACAGGACCTCCTCTGCATGTCTCTGGACAGGGAGCCAGGGGCTCCACCTACTTGGATAGAGAAAAAAGGATTTATTGGTTTGTTTACTTAATATGGATGGTTTTCTACCAAGCTTATTTGGCGTGGAGCCTAGCATCCGTCAAGAACTATCTAGATGCCTGAAGCATAGCATATGTCAAGAACTATCTAGATGAAGTTAAATAAAATTGGAAACTGACAAAATAATAATTATACTACACACAAAGATTTATCTAGCTCAGTCTCTCTATTCAGATCTGCTCAAATTCATTCTCTCTCTCTCTCTCTCTCTCTCTCTCTCTCTCTCTCACACATACCCTCCCTCCTTGAGGGCTAATCAATAATTCAGTGTTCAATAATGTGTTCTGATGGCTGAAAATATAGCAATTTAATTGATCTTTGTTTCTACACATCACAATGATATCTCATTTTTCCAGGAGAGTCATTTTTTCACAGCTGTGCCAGGCTTCTCACAATAAAACAGACCTACCCTGGGCACACCTGAAGCCCATTTGTAAAAGAAGCAATGTGGTGGTAATGGGTTTGTAACAGACACAAAGACAACCAGTGTGTTTTAAACAGTGACATTTATTTAGGGTTTTCAAGGACTCATACATTATTAGGATAAACTCTACTTTATAACAGTATGTAATAGGCAAATATATAATACAATAAATTGCATTTGTACACATAAATACAAAATTTGAGGTAGGGCCTCAAGAGTAATGACTTCTTAAATGAATAATGCACAATATATAATAAGCACTCTATACGATAGATATATATGATGCATCATTTTGTAACATAATATATTTTCTTCATGTACAGTTGATGAAAAAATATAAGGACCTGACTAGGAAACATCTTTATTCATGAACAATAGTGCCCACGTGAGATGCTTGCACTCAGAACATTATCCAAGTACACAATTTAGTAAGTAACCTACTCCTTGATAGGTCCATAATAAAGTGCAAAAGAACAAGGACAAATGAGAGACATAGCAGTTCCCAGTTGACGCCTAAACATCATCCCATGATAGAGCACACCTGTAAGGCATCCATCCGGTTACCTGAAGGTGTCATCCTTAGAAGCTAATCAAACTTCAGCTTGCTTTTCAAGAGTGGTGACACCCATCCAAAATCCTTTCTTGGCAGGCAGTTTACAGCAACCTATGCCAAGACCATACTTCATAGTGGTCCTTCTATGTAAGCACAGCTAAATGAGAGAAAGACAGGAAGTCTCACTCCCAAACCTCAGGCCAGCTCTGCCTAACACTCATTGGGAGATGGTGAAACAGGCTTGCTGGCCTCTGCCTCCATGCCTTGCATGTCAAACTACCATACAAAACACCCTCACTCAGTGCCTCAGAGAAGCACGTACAGACCAAAATCCAAATACCATGGGCAGGATGACCTTGCTGTTGCACATCCACCAACAGTTACTGTGCTAGTCTCTGGGAAGAGGACAATGACCCATGGCCAAGGAGATGAAGAGTAAAGTGTCAGTTTAAGGCAAGGGAAGCCCATGCTGACAGAAAGGAACTGAGAAGCGCTGAGGCACACATAGATAACAGAAGAGAAGCAAAACCCCTGACCCTCTCAGTGCTGTGCCGGCATAGAGAAATCTGAGTCTCGTCCAACCAAAAGTGCTTGTGTTCAACTCTTTCTAAAGTGCTGCTCCCTGAAGTACACATCAATTGCAGCTCTCAAAAATTAAAATCACATCAAAAATTCAAAGAACTCAAGGTCATCAGGATTTTGCATTGACCACAGATATCATGCAAGAAAGAAATACATAGGGGCAAATAAAAACAACTACCACGAAAGACCAGAATCAAACACATTTGTTCACAACAAACAGGGAGATTAGAAGTTTCTAGTGAGCAGGACAATTACACAAAGGTTAGCATAAGAAACCACAACACCAATAGTTAATAAATACATGGTGCTTTTTGTTTTAAGGATATTAAGGGGTTACTATTTTTCACATATGGCTTGTTTTTCTCTGAATGAGTTTATCGGTTGGTATGAAATCATCTCACAGATGGAAAACTCCCCACCAATCCACACAGGGAACCAAGGTTTTTCCAGAGCAACATTGCTTCTCCTTCAGTGTCTAGGGAGAATCTCAGGTGGCAGTTATGATAGCGCTTTCATTTTCTATTTATTCATTCATTTTTTTCTACCAATAGAGTGTGCATTTTAGTAGCATGGAAACAATCCACCCAGCTGGACACATATCAGCTCTCAGTATCTCACCCAAGTCCTCAGGAGGCATACTGCTGAGATACACCACGAATGGAGGCTACTCAGACACCACCCCTCCCTGCCAGGGAGAGCCTTGAAGTTGAACACGGCAATGAATGTGGGCAAAGCTAAACTTCAATGGCAGCTGTGCCCAAGTCAGCCTGCAACCTTTTATTTTGCCCTTCTAAGCAGTTTTTATATAAAACTAGAGAAAGAAAAAGCAACAACAACAAGATGGGCAAGTACTCAGGGCAGCTTCAAGGTGTTTCCTTAACATATCCTACTAGACACAGCTGTAGCTGCCCCAGTTACAAACACCCTAATCGATGAGGTCTCCAGTGAGCCAGCTCTCAGTTCACATCTGGCAGTGCCTCCCCACTCCCTTCCTGTAATCACAGAGGCAAAATGAGCAGAAATTGGTTTGGCATCCAGCACCAGTCCCAAACCCAGTCCAAATGAAACAGGAAGCCAGAAACCATTCATCCCACACAAGCACAAATCCCATGTGTGCTGAGACCAGCTCTGTGCTTTTCTTAACCTGAAAACTGGTGGGGCTTCGGGGAGTTTCCAACATCTTTGCTCTTACACACCACCCAAGTCTTCACAACACCCTGCGATACTGCAGCAGGAATGGGGCCACTCATCGGTACAGGGGAAACAGACAGCAGATAGGAGACAGCTGAGCCCACAGCTCATCTTCCTAAAATAGGGGAGGCCGAGCCTCCACCCATGTGACAGTCTAGCAAGACCTACTTCTGGGAAATGAGAGAAAAAAGAAAATGGAAGAGGGAGAGCCAACCCTGCCAGCAAAGACATGAAAGCCAAGAATTCAAAACCCACCATGGTCCCTTCCCTAAAACCTGTCATGGCTACCCTGGGAAACCCAAGTAACCATCATTGTTGGCAGGTGGTGTGAGCACTTACCCTAGAAAAAAGAGAGTCCAGTACAATGACTTCAGACACTTTACACAAATGGAGTCATCTTTTTTAAAGAATACATTAAAATTTGTTGTTGGGCAACATTGCCCTTGTGCAGGATGAAAATGTCACATCCACATACAGGATTTGAACTGAAAACTTTGCCTGAGACCCTGTTATATGAAGACAAACTAATAAGAAAATGATTGAACTAGTCTCCCCTACAGGAAATGATTTTAGGTTTAAATATTAATACAGGAAGGAAAAAATAAAACGCCCAGACTATGCTACTCTAAACTCGCCATCTTTGTGGTGCTTCATAAGATATTTGTAAGGACAGAAACACCACTACATGCTATGTGTACATGCTGCATGAGCACACGCCACAGCTTAAGAGTTTCATATATGCCTGTTTGGGAGACACTGTAATAACAGGTACAGCCTAGGCAGGCTCTGCAGATGGGGGTCTTATTCTCACTAGAGGGCAGTGACAATGAACACTGCAGATAAGGAGTTCCAGAATCTGAACTGGCTAAATGCATTCTTAAGAGCTATAGTCTTAATTGGCTTACTCACTACCTAGCTAAACTGGATTTATCAGAAAGTTCCGGAAATACAGTGACCTAAGATGTCCAACCCCAGGGATAAATAATAATATGGCTGTTTTCTACCAATCTCTTAATTTCTCTGATTTTCCTATGGCCACAATTGGTATTTACTGTTACTTAAAAAGGAGTAAAAATTGAGAAAGTGTCTTTTTAAGAGTTTATGTCCCATATATATAATATATAGACAGAACTGGGGCAAGTCTAATTTTCCCAGAGGTTGAAAGTCAAGGTATCTACAGCTTATAGAAAGAGATCTGGAGGCAAAGAGACAGCATATCGTGACACTGAACCATGGTGGTCAAGACATCATGGCAGATAGAACAGTGGTACAAAAGTTGACATGCAAATCAAAGCATGGCTTCTTGTGCACAGGGTGGAAGAAAAGACCCAAAGAATTAACTCCCAGATGTTATTATGAAGAAGGAGGAATAGGAAGAGGAAAAGAAGCAGGAGAAGGAGGGGAGGAGGAAAAGAAGGAGGAAGAGGGGGAGGACAGACAGACTGAGGGAAGAAAATGGACAGTCCCTTCAGATCCACAGTATGGAGAGATGAAGCATCTGAATGCATGGTATGCTTGGTCAAAATAAAGGAACAGTTATGCAAACCAAACCATCCAGCTGTGCCCAAATCCACCTCCGGGCCTTGTCTGCATCTAGAACAATCTCCAGCACTGCCACCCACCTAAATGCACCTGACCTGAACTTTCAGCTTCTGAATGAGATTGTGGCATTGCCCAGCTCAGCCGGGCAGTGTTGATGAGTCCAAATCAGCAGTCCTGAAAGTCTGAATTCTCCTCGTGCCCTCATACTCCTTCCAGCAATGAGAGCACACATCAGGATGTCTCTACTGCCAAGCCATGCACCTGCCAGCACTCACCTGGTCAACCTACCCCTGCAGGATGAGTGAAGCACCTGATCAGGGGACCAATCCTTCCAGACACTGATAGCACAGACACAGGCAGACAGCGCTTCCAGTGGTCTGTGTGACTCTCACTACAGCATGCGACAGACACTATGTCCTACTTTTCTATGGAACACTCTCATGCATGGCTGTGAAGCGAGGTGTGGGGAGAAAGAAGAAAATTGGGAATAAAGCTGGGGAAAGTGTGAAGGGGACGCAGAGAGGAAAATCAGGAGTAATACAGGACCATCCACACTACTGGACTAGCACTGGGTGCCCAGTTCCAAATCCTTCACTGGCAGTTTGAGTCCCAGGGAGGAGGTTCCCAAGGGGTCAATCATATTCTTGTAACGCTCCCCACGGTGCTGAGCTAAGAATGGGCCCCAGTCTGGCTGTGGAGAGCATACCAACTTCAGCCTCTGCAAAAAAAAAAAAAAAAAAAAAAAGTCAAAGGCACACATAGTTACAACAGAACTACCCCTTCCTCCACTATGGCTCCCCTAGCCATCTCCAACAGGCTAGGAACCACTGATCTGGCTCCCTCACTGGAGCCAAGAGGTTCCTGCAATGAGGGAGACAATGGGGAAGACTAGCCCACATTCATTAACCAGGCCAAGGGAAGAAGAATCAAGACTCAGTTTGCTTCACTTGAAGTTATTTACATCACCCTGAATGCAACATTATGATTACTTCATGTTTGCCTTGAACAAGATTAGTAGAGGACAAAGGGCCCAGATTTTAATTATGCATCTTCCCCCACCAAATGAAGAGAATCCATAGGTTTCTTCTTCTGCTCCCAAACAGCAGAAGTCATGGGCTCAATTACATTTGTTCTGTAGTCTCAATGGTGGGTTGCTACATCAAAATAATTGGATTTTGTTTAGCATATTTCCCAAAAGTATATAAATGGCAAAGGAAAAAGTCAACCCTTAAGATACATCACCAAGCATGAACAAAGATTTTAATTATCTGTTGACAAAAATATGTTTCTAACTTGGTTCAGCAATGCAGGTTCATACAAGTAAGTTTTAAAATTAATAGGGATGTCTCTAGTCTTTCAACTGAAGTTTTATAGCAAATAAAATCTGACAGAAACAGGTAGAAAAATAAAACTTATTTCTTACTATATAAGAGGGAATAATTATATGTTTATTACCTATTAAAGGGAATCTGGTGCTCATAGCTGTTAGTTTAATCTCTCCTTAATCATCAGTTTGCAACCTTTGTGTCCCAAATTAACCATAATAAATTTGCACAGCCAACCCATCAATCTAGAGAATTCTGGGCTGCAACACCAGTAGCAGAGGTTATAGCAGGTTCTGTTAGAGGAAAGAGATTCCTGGGTCTTCTGTGGAGGAGGTGGCTATGAGGGGTGGCACCCTGGGAGTGGTTGGGACCAGAGTTGATTTATTCCAGAGGATAATGAACAAAATTGTCTGGGGATGCAAACCAGAATACAACTTCAATGTGGGGATTCACCTTCATTTGGAGGTCAGTGAAAACAAAGGCTACCTGCTGATCCACCCCAAGTGACCACTTGTGTTGTGTGCTAGCCATGTGCTCACCCCCATCCTGCTTCTCCCCACAGCCTTTTCCTCATATGGATCTAGCTGCCCAAGAACAAACCCCACACAGTCATTCTCCACCCCAGTAAACAGGGATTTGTTTGCATTGGTCTAGATCAGCAGTTTCTCCGCCTGTGTTTTGCAACCCTTTTGGCAAACCTCTAGTTCCAAAAACATTTACATAATGAATCATAACAGTAACACAATTACAGTTGTGAAGCAATGAAAATAATTTTATGGTTGGGGTCTCCACAACATGAGGAGCTGTATTAAAAGGTCTCAGAATTAGGAGGATCGAGAACCACGAGTCTAGATGCTTTCCAAACTTGAGCACTCATCTAAATCACTGGAAGATTCCATTTTCGTTCAGCTCTATGCAGTCATGAGAACCTGACTGTCTGCATTTATGACACACTCCCAGAAGCCTCTGGGTCAGACCCCTGATCCAGCACTGATATGATCCAAATGCCCTCAGGATTGAGGCAGAGTTCATTCATTCTCATAGGGTCTCATACAGCCCAGACTAGCCTAAAGTTCACTATATAACTAAGGATGCCTTGAACTCCTGACCCTCCTGCTTTTACTTCCCAAGTGCTACAGTTACAGGTGTGCTTGAATGACTTCTCATAAATAACAAAATCTGGGTGGTTCCTCAGTGGCAGCTGAAGCAAATAGAAGTCCCATCCACTCTACGGAAAAAGTAGGGATCAGTTTCAGGGCAAGAGTAAATGAGTTCAGATAGGGATTAGCTGCTATGCTAGTTAGCCTGGCACAGCTACAGTCATCTAGAAAGAAGAAATGCCACCTGAGGAATTTTCTCCATCAGATGGGTCTGTAGGCAAGTCTTGGGACATTGTCATGACTAATTTTGATGTGGGAGGGCCCAGTCCCCTGTAGCAGGGCTACCCTGGGGAAGATGTTCTTGAGTTATATAAGAAAACAAACTGAGCAAGCCACCATGAGGCGCAAGCAGTAAGCAGCACTCCTCCATGGCCTCTGCTTCTGTTCCTATCTCTAGGTTCCTGCCTGGAGCTCCTGCCCTGACTTCCCTCGGTGAGGGACTGAGACCTAGTGACCTGGGAATACTGAGATGAAATAAGCCCTTTCCTCCCCAACTTGCTTTTGATCATGGTTTTATTGGAGCAATAGAAACCTAACTGTGACCGTTGATAAAGAAAAGCCAGTCTCCCTTACTCTAGACACGCCCTGGGAAGCATATATTACACCTTGAGAGTCATCATATTTTTAATCAGCTTGACTCTTCAGTCATTCTTAACCCAGGAACAATATGGGGGTGGTGGTGACTTTAAGTTTAATGGCAATAAACATTTGAGAGGGAGGAGGCTTGTATGTAGAGGAACACTAAGAAAGAGAAAACCTTATGTGTGGTTAAAAAATGAACTCCAAGATGTAAATAGCGGCCCCAGGAGGAGAGAAGGAAGCTCTAGGAAAGAGGAGACATTCAGATCATCCATCCCAGGGCTGCCAGCACAGTGAGGAATAGCACAATAATAGCTCAGCCTGACGATTGGCTGGGCTCCTCTGTTACAGGAATAATACATAATAAAAATGGGTTTAATAGAATCGGCGGCAACTGTAATCGCTTACTCACCCGGTATCCCTCTTGAATACGTTTACTGAATCTTTTGTTTTTAATGCATAGAGCTTTTAGGATCTCTCCCTTGGGAGAGGCTAGCAGGGGAAAAGGAGCCAGAAGAATTACCTCAATAAATCTGCCAGGAGCCAGATACATTTTTATCACAAACATAATCGGGATCCAGATAACAGAGCAGGCGAGCATCAGCCACCCAAGCACCATGGACCAGTTAGGGTAGCGATAAGAGCCATAGGTCATGGGCTCCCACTGGTAAAAGCTGAAGCAAAGGATAAACTAGGAGAGAAGAGAAAGGTACGTTAGGGTGATTATGTGAATCATTCATTCACTCAACACACATATGCTCCGTGTTTTCATTTCTAATGCTTCATCTTATGTATATATACTCTTGTCCATCTGAAAAGGGGTTTTCTAATTGAAGAAAGTAAACTCCAAGGAGATGAGAGTGGCATAGATGCACTCAGTTACCACTCCTATGTTTGTCATCCCATAGGAAGTCAGAGGGTGTGGGTATGTGTCTATACACAGAGAGGCCACACCAAGACAAACAGCACAGTGACTGACAGGGACAGGTAGGAGAAGGGATGCTGGGAGTTTTGAAGAGATTGTCTGACTATCATTGATAATCAAGCCTTAATTATAATGGGGAAAAGATGTGATGAATTTATACATTTCAATCTTTTTAATTGAATCCACTTGGCTTTGTCCTTGAACAAGGAATGGCCCACATATAGGAGCTGCCTCTAAAGTTGACTGTGTGAGACCCAAAATGGTCCCCCAGAGGTGACTGATCTAGAAGCCATGGCAGAGAGAGATGTGCAGGCCCCTCCCTGACTCAAGGGGAACAGCATCATTACCAGTGAGTCCAGAGACCTGGCTCTACTGCTAATGAGCTGAGAGGCCTCTCAGACTTCTCAGCTACAAAATGGACATATTTCACACCATGTACATAGTGCTGGGATTTTCTGGGGACAGAGGCCTGGCATTTACTCTAGAGTCCTTCCTCGTTTTTCAAAAGGTCATGATTTGGTTTTTGTCCATTATCTGCTATCAAATCATACTTCAACTGGCAACAGCTTTGAGATCCATCCAAGGGCTGGGCTGGACAGCTGAAGAGGGCCAAAGGAAGGCATGTGCTGGAGACAGGGGCACCTTTATAAGGAACCAGGCTCCAGACGGCCCCAGTCCAGCCTGTAGACACCATTTCCCAAGATAATGGTGGTTCTTTGTGTTCTCCCTGCCTGTGGCAGCATCAGCCTAGAATTGTCTCCATAAGTCCTTTCCCCAGATCTACCTCTGTCCTCCTGCCTTGAGCTGTAGAGTCACAAAGTGACTGGATGGAATTACCTTAGTGAAAATAATAGGTGGGAGCATTTTGGAGAAATGTGAAACCCTTCACAAGCACAAGGCATCCACACTACCACTGCAGCACCCAGGCTGCCAGGACTTCCAATGTAACAATAATTCATATGTTGATTCAAAGCAATGTGAGCCTGAAGACAAGGCTCCCATGGAGAATGAGGTCTACATTAGCCCCTCTTTCAAAGATTTGCCCCTGGAGTCGTTAGGCTTTATTAGCCAGTCTACTGGAAGCATGGCCCGATGTCACTACAGTGTGCTGCTCTGTTTCATTTACTATATAAATAGCAATGCATCTGCTTATGTGTGTGCCTTACTCAAGTAACGTGATCAGACTAGGCATATGATAATTGCATGAGGATATTTATGGCTCCATAAATCCACAACAGCATGTAGAATAATGATGGATCTTATTTCAGAGGCCCTGAAGTAATTTAAACCCATAATCTTACCCTAGTCCAAGACCACAAAGATATCTATGCTACGGAAGGTAAATGGCAAAATATAAGCAGGGCTGAGACCTTTGACACCCATTTCCACTTGTGCAAATATCACATCAAACTTTTGGGCACAAGCTGGTTGCTTGCCATAAATTTCCCTCTGCCAAGTCAGCTTTAATGAAAGCCTTCTCTTAGGTAGGTTTTGTCACAAGAGATGGGGATTTAGCCACCAAATCATGCCCACCCCTGCCTTTGGCTGACAGCCACCACAGCAGACACAGGAGACCACTGGCTGGTGATAACAGAACTGACCACATCTCTTGCTCAGAATATCTACCTCAAGACAATCCTAGGGCATCTCCATGGCTTCTGACATGAAATCTAGGAGCAAAGCTGAGGAGCTTTCCCAGGAACAAAAAAAAAAAAAAAAAAAAAAAAAAAAAAAAAAAAAAAAAAAAAAAAAAAAAAAAAAAAAAACCAAGTTCCTGAAATCCCTTCTCCCTAGACTGTCAGAATGCAGAGGTTGGGCTTGCAGCCCAACCCACCTCAAAGACAATGTTTTGGCTCTGTGGCCTTGTGGCCTAGAGCAAGTGCCTTACCCTATCTGAGCCCTGATGCACACATCTGTAAAGTGTGGAGACAGCATGGGCAGAAATCTCAACAACACTGGTGAAGGACCTGTCTCAAGAACTCCCCCACACTGCAGCAGCAGGAGGATGGCCATGTGGCCTGATTCCACAAAATATGGCAAAATTCTAACATTCTCCTGGGACTAGAGGAAAAGGAGGGCAGGATCTAGATGATGATGGATACTGTAATACACAAATTCTAACATTAACTTGGCTGATAATAAAACCATGAGGAGAGGAGATGAGAGGGTCAAAGGTCATCAGGGACAGCATCTGCAGAGAATGGGCGGCACCCTCATCCTTACACCCAAAAGCTAAGGCCAGCTCCCCACACACTTCAACTCTGGGCATCTGTCTTTAATACCTTCCAGTTCTCGAGCCCCAGCTCCTGTGGGACTTTTCAGACCATGGGAATAGATGTGGGTAAGCTATTGGTGTCGACACAGAAAAGGAAACCTGCAGAATGTATTTTCTATCTAAACTTCTAGTGTTTCAGAAATATACGGTTTGGTTAAAACACACTTTGAGATGAGGGAAAAGGGCAAACAAATGAAGAAAACATGTATTTTTATTGCACCTGATTTTAACCATCCTGCATCTTAAGAGAAGCTGGTGGTGTTTGGTAGTGAAACACCTTTATCTGGTTTCTACTGCCACCTACTGGGACAAATAGAAAATACAAACAACTTCCTTCAGGCTTGCCCAAGAAGAACTCCCAAAAGCTACAGGAAGAAAAAGACAAGCCTCAGAGGATGGAAAAGACAAAATCTCTGCTAATTAATTTGCTTGGGGAAGAGAGTGAGACCACACTGACAGCTTCTGGCACAATAATGGGGGTGACAAAGTGTGATTCTAGGCCCCTGTACAGATCATGGGCACATGAAAGGTTCTGTCCCTTAAAAAGGTGAGTATCAGGTGAACTCAAAACACCATTACACTTGAAGATGAAAAAAATGGCTCTCAAAGCAACAAAATCAACAGTAAAATCCTGATTAAAGCTTTGTTAATTGTAGAGCAGACACCTTGTGTGGTGATTAGGAGCCAGAACATGTGGGTTCAAATCTAGACTATTGCCAACTATTGTACATTCAATGCTAGATCAGTCACATAACTCCAGGCTCACTTTCCCTGTGATATTTTACTGGTGGTGTTACTTCGGGTTTTTTTCCAAGACAGGGTTTCCCTCTGTAACAGCTCTGGCTGTCCTGGAACTCACTCTATAGACCACGCTGGCCTTGAACTCATAGAGATCCACCTGCATCTGCCTCTGTCTCTGCCTCTGATTCCTGGGTGCTGGGATTAAAGGCATGTACTGCACCCCCAATTGCCTGGCAGTGATATTTTGTTTTAAATGTTAACTTGACAGCACCTAGAATCACCTAGAAGGGAGTCTCAATGAAGGATTGCCTAGATCAGGTGTTCTGATTGGGTCTTGTCATGTTTATGTTAACTGATATGGATGGCATTATTCCCTAGGCAGGGGATTCTCATATTATAGAATTCGGGGGCTGGAAAGATGGCTCAAAGGGAAGGGCACTTGCTGCTCTTATAGAGGACTAGTTTTGTTTCTAGCTTACAGCCACCTGTAACTCCAGCTCCAGGGAAATAGCAGAATAAATCCTTTTCTGGAAAGTGGAAAGCTAGCAAGCATGGGTCCTTCATTTCTCTCTGCTCTTGACTGTGGGTGGAGCCAGCTGCTTCAGGTTCCTCCCACTGTGATTCTTGCTATGAAGAACTACAACCTAAAACTGTTCGTGGAAATGAATGATTTTGTCCCCTGGGTTGTTTTTGTTAAGGTACTATGGCACCTGAGATGGAAATAGGACATTCCCCTTCTACAAGACAGAGATACTTATGCCAGCCTGACAGGATTGTGAGAGAGGAGGCTCTATACAGGAATCACCCACACAGAATTGGAGCCAAGGCAGATGTGTGGTTTGCATGGCTGTGGACTGCTATCTGCTAGCACATAAGGCAGATGGATATAATGTACACATTCTACACAGATGTGCTGATGTCTGTCAATCAGTCCCAGCTCTGCCCCTGACCAGCTAGGAACCTGTACACAAGTCACTTCACCTTTCTGAATTTCAGTTTACCCACCTGGACGACAAGAGCAATACCCACCCCACCAGCTCCCCAGGTTCATGGGGAGGCACGCATGTTCAAAGGTAAAACACTGACAGGTGCACAAGGCAGTGTCTGTGAGAGAAGGCTCTCAGCCCTTACGGTTAAAATGGTCGGGGTGACAAATGCCCAGCAGACTTTCCAGAAGATATTGGGCTGGAATCCAATCATCATCTCGATGTCTTCACAGAACCTCTGCAAGCCTGAAAAGAGACAACAGAGGCCATGTGTGAGGTGCAGTGGGCAGGGGCAGGGAGAAGCAGACACCAGAACCCCTCACTCAAGAACCTTGGCTAAGGAAGGACCCAACTGAAGTCAACATAACCCCTATTGCCCAGGAAAAGATCAGACAGATGACTCACTCCCAGGGATGCTGGGGCTAACTGAATGTTGAAATAGTTACTAAACACTCTTCAGTGAGGCTCAAAGCTGTCACGGCAGTGCCTCCAAAGCTTAGTTCCAGGAGTCTTAGCAGTGGCCCATGCATGCATTTGGCTGCTTTAGGAGGTGGCTTGTTGACAAGTCCAGCAGAGAAAAAGGCTTTGGTAAACCAAGATACTATGTTATGAAAGGCCCAGTACTTAGCAAGAGTTTTTGTGGGCTGAATTTGTCTCCCACCCTCCAAGAGCACTTCCATTACATCCACATAGCTCTGCTTGGTGTACTCTGATGGTTACAGGTGAAACCAATGTAAACTCCAAGTGCCCATCACACTCAGCTGGAACTGAATGCCTTGTCTTCCTGGCCACTCCTCAACTTCACTAAAGTAAAATGCAAAGGAGGCAGTTCTTCATCCGGCCCCACATAGCCACCCTCCTGGTAACCTCTTAGTTTAGAAGTGGGGTTGGAACACTGCTTTGAAGGAAAGTCACTTGTATCATAAGTGGTCCCCATCAGAATTGGGGGATCAGTACGCAAAGGGATAATTTCCTGAATGCAAGTTTCTGCGTTGGGCATGTCTAAAACCCCATCCCAGTGTGTTCAAGATGTGTTCTCCATAGAGAGAGGGGAGCCCTGATGTCCTGATGACACAACCACAAATTAGTATTACCATCATGGGAAACTAGAGATTCCTCAAAAAATCAAAAAATGCAGGTTAACAGGGAACCAGTATTCCCACTATGAGCATACGGCCAAGGGATGTGGAACAGTGCGGTGAAGAATTGTGACACTATTCACAATCACCAAGTCTATCAAAGATGAATGGAGAAAAGGTCACGTACACATACATGCACATTAGCACATACATACACACAAAATATACATGCACACATATGCATACACACAATCATACATATATGCATACATACACAGGCTGTGTCATACTCAACCACACAAATGACCCTGGAGGGCATAATGCTGTGTAAAGTAAGCCAGATAGAGAAAGAGGCCACATAATCTCCCTTATATGTGGACTCTTAAAAAAACAGTCATGGATGCAAAAAGCAGAATGGCAGTTTCTAGAGGCCAAGGAGTGCAGATAGAGTCATACTGGTCAAAGACTATTATGTATCTGTTGGAATACACACTGAGGGCTATCAAAGATAATAACTTTGTTAGCTAGTCTGATGCAATCATTGCATTGCACACATATATTGACAGTGTCATTTGAACCCCATAAGAATATGCAGTATAATTTATCAATAAACATATAAACAAGTTTATAATTTAATAGACATTCTAGCCAGATGTGGTGGCTCACACTGTAATCCCAGTACTCAGGGGACAGATGCAGGAGACTCACCATGAGTTCAAGGTCAGCCATAGTGAATTCCAAGCCATCCAGGACAACATAGTGAAAACCTCTCTTTCCCTCTCTGTCTGTTTCTGTCTGTCTCTGTCTGTCTCTGTCTGTCTCTGTCTGTCTGTTTCTCTCTGATGTGTGTATGTATGTATTTCATGTTTGTGTTTGTGACTGAAAATGAAACTCAAGGCCTCATGGATGCTAGGTAAGCACTACCACTGAGTCACAACTACCACTGAGTCACAACTACCACTGAGTCACAACTACCACTGAGTGAGTCACAACTACCACTGAGTGAGTCACAACTACCACTGAGTGAGTCACAACTACCACTGAGTCACATCCATAGTCCTTGAGAATTATACAGTTTATGTAAAAAGGAGGTCATCTCTACTCACCACCATGCAAATAACAGATCCTGACATCATTATGGCCCTCGACTCTAGCATTTGCATCTATTTCCACCCAGTTGAGACCAAGGCTAGTCAGCCCCTTCAGGAAACCTCCAGCCCTGTGATGAGAGCTGCCAGAGCTGAGCTAGGGCTGTTTGCTAAACAGCAGCCTGCACTAGGAAAGGAAATGCAACTTCCCTCAAGTCACCCAACTGTTTCTCAGGTGGTATCTGGGTTCCTGATCTACTTAATAAGTCCGATGGTGACCTTCCATAAATAGGGTACATAGAGCATTGAACAAGGAGCTGGGACCCAAGTTCTCAACATATAATGGCCTTCGTTCTGAAGCAAGATTAGCCCACCCAACAACCTTCCTGCCCCAGCCTTCATACCCAAGTTCCTCCCTGTCAATGGTCCCCTGTACTTCACGCCCTTGCTTATATGGTTCCTCCTGTTGGTCCTATCCCTGACACTAATCAAAATCTGTCTTGCCTTCAGGGCCTGAATCATGATGAAAACACTGTTCATAGAGATTTGAGCATGCTTAAGAGAACTATCTGCAGCCAAGTGTTGATGGTGCACGCCTATAATCCCAGAGGCAGGCAGATCTCTGTGAGTTCAAGGCCAGCCTGGCTACAGAGAGAGTGCCAGGATAGGCTCCAAAGCTACACAGAGAAACCCTGTCTCGAAAAACCAAAAAGAGAAAAGAGAGAGAGAGAGAGAGAGAGAGAGAGAGAGAGAGAGAAACTGCCTGCTAGATGACCTTGAAAATGGAGGAGCAACATAGAAAAGGAAGCCAAGCAGCTGCTGCTCAATCAACTAACAGGGAAGGGGGGAGGGACATGAAAAGTGAAAAGGTGCAAACACATGACTACTACCCTAGACTCAGCAAGCAGATGTGGGGCTCAGAAACAGCCACCTTATGCTCCATCCTGCTGACCAATCCTGAACTGGGACTAAAACACTTCCTTCAACTGACTCTGGGCTTCTGGTTCACAGACCACACCCCTGCCCTTTGTCTGAACATTACTTCAAGAGCTGTGATCCCTTAGATGTGACCAAGGTCCACCAGGTGAACAGGACCCTGTGCTCTGAGGGGACCCTGCACCTGGTGTAACGCTCTCCACCCACCATCTTGAAATTCTGCACCAAACTTTAACAAGAGAGTCCACATTTTTATTTTGTACGAGGTCCCACAAATTGTGTCTCCAGTCAGAGCGAAGCAAGTGGGCAATTGTCCCAGTCATTCCAACCTGGATAGCACAAATGCCCATCTCTAAAAGCTAAACCCTCTCTTACTAGGTTTCTACCTTGGTTGAAACTCAGTTGAACCTTCCCTCGGTCTCCACACTCATTTATTTCATCTCTAAGGTATCATTTTCTTGGTTTCCCTGGCTACTCTCACACTCACACTCTCTTTTCTCTCTGAACAGCAAAAGAGCTCACAGTAGGGAAGCTCAGCTTAGGGCTGACCATCTTACTGTGTTTGTGGAGCTCAGCCTCTGAGCTATACTAATGGGAGTAATGGGAGAATGTCAGCTGGCTACTTGGCCTGACATGTAATAAAGTCCAGAATCATCCCCATCACACAGTGAATGTCTGAATGCTTCCTCTATAATACAGAGACTGTTAAAAGTGAACTGAAAAGCTCCAGTCTCTGAAGCTTACGCCCTTGCTCTCTCGACTCCACAGTCCGGCACCAAATCAACCAGGTTCATTTTCATTCTTCCCAGGCCTGTTCTCAGCTGTCTCTTGCCCTTTCATGGATTTGGGGTCTCATCATCTCAGAAAGAACACACTGTTCTGTTCTAGGGGATAAAGTTTATGCATTTGTGCAGGCATCTCTTTTCATCACTAACAATTACTATTAATCATTTCTCCCTGGATTTACTCCTTTGTGATTTTTGTTAGCATTCAAAATAATGACTCTCATTATGATATTCATATATATATATATATATATATATGTAATATACATATACATATATATATATATATATTTTGATAGTTTGCTCACATTCACCCATCACCCTCTCTATTCCTCCCATCTCCTGCTGGTCCTACCAAACACCCACTTGTGCTTTGTGAGGAAGAGAGAGAAGGAAGAAGGAAGAGGAGGAAGGAAGAGGGAAGGAGGGAAAGAGAAAGAGAGATTGAGATTTGTTTTGTTAGATTTCTTATATTTTTTAATTATGTGCATGTTGTGTCCATGCACCTGAGTACAGTGCCCACAGAGGGCAGAAGAGGGCATCAGATACCCTGAAATTGGAATTTTAGGCAATTGTAGGTACTGGAAAGCAAACTCCAATCATCTCTCAAGACCCCAATTTACACACACACACACACACACACACACACACACACACACACTTTTATTTTTATGTGCTTTGGTATTTTACTTACATGTGTATGCACCTCATGTGTGTGCCTGGTGACCACAGAGGCCAGAAGAAGGTATTGGATTCCCTGAGACTGGAATTACAGGCAGTTGTGTGCTCTGTGTAGTGCTGGGAATTGAACCCGGATCCTCTGGAAGGGCATCCAGTGCTCCTAACCTCTGAACCATCTCTCCAACTGATTTACTTCTTAAATCACCATCAGATCCAATTCCAAGTCCAGCCTAGGTCCATCACAGTCTATCTGATTCTGAAAGGGTATCCCATACCATTCCTTAGGGACTAAGGGATTTCCTGTCCCCAGGAAAATCATCATAGCCCAAGTACTGAAGCGCTTGGATGTTACTTATTCCTTCTCAACCAAGAGATCTACTGCCAGACTTGGTTGGGGTTTGGGGTGAAAATTTAACTTCTAGAATTAGACATGTCAAAAGGTGTCTGGTTTAATTGCTCTTAGCCCTCACTAAACAAGCATGCTTTACAGAAAAGCACTTCGCAATTGTGCCTTTTGTGGCAATTGACAGTTGGGAAACAGGTGAAGGGAATAACTCTCTGCACTTGGGCCTGCAACCCTGTAGATGGGTTGCAAATGAAGCCCACTTCTTTTGCCAGGAGTTACACTCTCCCTGTAGTGATAAGATGATCTCTAGCCTTACAAAAATTCCCTTTGAATTCCCATCCAAAAATAATTGCAAGGCTGGAGAAATGGCTCTATGGTTAAGCACATACAGCTTTTAGAGAGAACCAGAGTTTGACTCCCAGCACCCACAGCAGGTGGCTCACAACTGCCTGTGACTTCGGGTCCAGGGGACATAACACCCTATTCTGACTTCCATGGGAACTGCACTGGTGCACACATGCACACTCAGACACATACACAATACATGTGATTGAACTTCTTTTTAACTAATGGTTGTAGACTCTTCCAGTTTCTAGGGTGCCCAGATTTTACATGAAAGATTTCTATTTTCTATTCTGATTCTCTGATCTTCATTTCTCCTTTATTTTAATGAAATTACCAGGAAATCCAGAAACTGCTACATATCTGCCAGTAGGAGACTAACAATCACTTGAGAATCAAGACACTTGTCCAAAGGACACATAAACGTAGGGGAGTACTTTCCCCCAGTCTGGAGGACATAGCTCGGCAGACACCTCTGGCCTCCCCACATGATAGTCTGGGGCACCTGCAGCCTCTATCCAAGCAATTCATTTCCTTTACTTTTCGTTTAGGACAAGTTGCTCTCTTCTGGAATTGCAAGACGATTAGATCAATGAACCTCCCGATACTTGCTATTTGGCCTCATCCAGTCTATACACAAAGAAGTCAACAGTGCCTGAACCAAACTAGGCAGAGTGACCAGGATGGCCCCTGGTGTGACCTCCAGGACAAAGACTTATGCACAAAGGGCAGAGATGGCATCTGGTGGCTGCCATCCTGCTGTCCTTGATAATAGCTTTACTGTGGATGGGATACAGGTTGCCATGGTGATGGCAGAAAGGTTAAACCATTAGGGAACTGGAAGTTTCTTTGCTGAGAAAATCTGGGACTTAGATACTGTATGGCAAGTTCCTTCGGGTGCATATTAAGATTGGAAGGCTCTGTGATCAGGTGACCTTTGGTACCCTGGGGCTGTGGAAAGCCACCCTTCACCTCAAGCATGTGAGTGCTTGATAGTACTAAAACCAGGAATAATGCCACACCAAAAAGGAATCCTGCCTCCTTATCAGGCCACTGGCCACAGACATTACCTGTGCCAGACTATACCCAAGGCTGGATCCTACAATTTCTGCCACATAGTGCTAAGATTCACCACCAGTCACCTTTGGTTTCTTAATCAGTTCTACCACAGTGATCCTGAGGCAAGCTCAGAAATAGAGACATTGTGAAATCCTTTAAGTACAGTGAATATGCTTGCCAGGAAGGCCCGCCATACATTCTGGTTCTCCTTTGTTAACAGGCAGAGTGTTCCCTTACCATACACATAGGAGATGCCAACAAGCTCAAATATAGCGATGATGACGAGGGCATAGGAGGCAGCATAGGTGTCCACGAGCTGAAACATGTAGATTCCACCCTAGCAAGAGAGAAAGAGAGCCACCATCACATAGGACCCTGTGGCCAGGCTCCATCTCCCCACCTTCTCTTCCCTCCAGAGGGCATCAGGTGCAGACAGAAGTCAAAAGTCCTCCCTTTGCCACATCAAGAACCTACGCCTGGGCTAGGCGTAAAGTGGAGACTTGGCCAGGTTAACAAAGACATCCCTCAATGGCCTCTCAATTGATCAATAAAGCAAGCACACACACACAAAAAGCTGATTTAGTATCTTCTATTTTTCCAAGGCAAAGGTCACCCTCTGATGGAGCTGTTAAAGCAGCCACCTGCCTTGTGTTCGCTGTGAGCTGTCGATTACCACTCTATCCACATAGATGCACTTTATTGACCCTCACGTGACCTTTAGCTATGGATGTAAATTTAGTTTGGAATCACCTAAGCAGGGAGCTTCATTGTGGAATTTTCCTGATTGCCTTCACTCACTTGGGAAGACCCACCCTAAATGTGGCTGGCACCCTCAGGGAGGAACCCAGTTGTAAAAGGTCACAGAAGAAGGAAGAGTAGTCACCCTTTGTGAGCTTGGCCTTCCCTCTCCGATCAAGTTAATTTGCCGTGTTGCCATTGGCTCCTTCGCTCATTTCAGAAGTAGCCTTCCCAGACCCTCAAGGGGAACTGAGGACTAGTGGCTCTCCAGGAACCCTCCAGGTCTTCAGCACCAGACTAGTCTACTTGAAGCACAGAGAGCCTCATGGACTAGACAACCCTTGGGTTCTCAGCTCTCTCTCTCTCTCTCTCTCTCTCTCTCTCTCTCTCTCTCTCTCTCTCTCTCTCTGCCTTGCACTTTAAGTCTCCTTGCTACCGATGAGGCCTAGAGACCTAGAGACCATCTCATTCCACTCCATCATTTTATAGATTTAAGAACTAAAGCCCAGAGGAGTGAAGTGTTCAAGGTCACAGAGACAGCAAGTCCACTGCATGTCCTGTGTTACTATGCACAGGACTAGGAAAAACTGTGTTTATATATAACAAGAAATATCTTGGAAATTTGAGTAATGGATAAATCTGGACGTTCCTGTTTTCTGTTTTCTTTAAGTAGGACACACCTGTCTTGTTGGCTCAAGAGGATTACATCTCAATTATGAAGATGGCCTCGCTAGGAGCCAAGATGACATATTTCCCTGTGTGGTCAGAAATATTATTGAACCTGTGCCATCTATGGAAATGGCAGTGATTTGGCTCTGGTTGTGAGGTCTGAGAAGTGAGAAAACAAGGATGACAGCCATCACAGGTCCCCCACATGCTCCATATCAGGCCTGTGGCTGCAGTGATGACAGACAGCCATCACACATCGCCCAGCCGACCCATAATCACAGCAGGCTCTCACCCAAGAGTGATCATCGATACTCTTCATACATCCCCCACCTTATCCGGCCATGCACAGTGGGTTCTCACCTGTGTGATCATTGGGAAGCCCATAATGAAGAAGCAGATACAGCAGCCCAGGGTGAACACAGGCTTGTGTGTGCGCAGGTACTTGGGGAACTCATCGGAGATGGAGGTCACAATGGTCTCGATGGTGGCAAACTGAAACAGTACCAGGACAAAAGCATTTGAGTTCAACTGTCCCCCTCAGAAACCTCCCAGCAAAGTCCTTTGTGGTGTCACTAGGGAAAGTTGTGCTTGGGTTCAGTCTGATTTTTAGGGTGCCATCCTTCTATGGGTCTAAATGACCTTACTGGGTGCCAACACACAAAGTCAGGAGACCTCAAGCAGAGTATGAGCTTCAGAAACTCTACCTCCAGCCCCTGGAGAGTGCACAATCATCCATCAGGCCATTTTAGCTTCATTTTGTATTCATGAGATGCAAATTCCTCTCCTCTGGTTATCTGCCATTTGATCTCCTACTTGAGGAAAAACCCTCTTTGCACCCAGTGACTAAACTCTGAGCACCTGTCAGCATGATTTGTAGTAGGTTCAGCCTGGTGGCAATTTTCCTAAAATTGACTTCATATTATCATCCCTTATGCTATCTCGTAGAATTCGCCTTGGCAAAATGATGACACCAGGAGAGGGTGCAGGCCAAAACTTGGCACAGAATACAAAAGAGGGAATGGAGGAGAGAGGAAAGCTCCTTCACATTGTTATCTGATCACCAAACTATGTGACGTTAAACTGGGTGAGATGGTCAGCCTTGGGAGGCTGAGGAAGGAGGCTGAAGAGTTCTAGGCCATCCTCAGCTACATATTAAAATCTTAACTTAAAAAAAAAAAATACATACAAAGTTACTGTGACTCTAGACAGGTGCCTCACCATCACGGCATTACCCAGGAGAAAGCTCCTAAGTCTTGCTTGCAGGCTGGATCTGGGATCTCAGAAAGAGTCTTTAAAGGGTGTGTGGGGCAGAGATGGGAAGGACAGGGACTCACCATAGTGTCAAGACCAAGAGTGAGAAGCATCAGGAAGAAGATGATGGCCCAGAATGGAGAGAGAGGCAGCCTGGTTAAGGCTTCCGGGTAAACCACAAATGCAATGCCTGGCCCTAGGAGAAACAAGAGAGATGGTGTCAGACAGGCCCAACTCAAAGTCCCTCTCCCCAGAGCCCACAGGCCTTCTTGCCTCTGAGATCCTGAAGTATTATATGTTATAGTTCTTTCCACTGCCTGTTATTTGTGCTCATCTCTGCTAATTAGATCATGCTAACTCTCATGCAAAAACTAAGAAGCTACGTTCTTTTATTTGATAACTGGAGGCAAAGATAATTATTACCTTCTGGTAGAATTGTTGATATTGAGCCCTGAGGGGTACCTGGCAGTGTCTGGAGACAGTTTTGTTTCTCACAACTGGAATGAAATGGGACAATGTGATGATCAATCTGTCACCTTGACAGGATCTAAAGTCACCCAGGGAACAATCCTCTGGGCATGTCTGTGAAATAGTCCTTATATTGGGCTAACTGACATGGGTAGCACCATCCATGTAGGGGTCCTAGGCTGAAAGGGGGGAGAAGTAAGCTGAGTACAAGTGTATGCCTCTCTCTCTGCTTCCTGACTGCAGAGGCAATGTAACCAGATGCAACAAGTACCTGTCCTCTACCTTTCCCCACCATGAGGAATGTATTCCCTCAAACTGTGAGCCAGATAAACCCTCCATCCTTCAATTTGCTATTGCAGGTATTTTGTCAAAGCAGGGAGAAAAGTAGCTCGCACAGAAAGCTACTGAAATTAGAAAGCAGAAGCCAGGGGCAATGGCTTCCTAAGAGTACCACATGCTGTCAGGGGTTGTAGGAATGGCATTGGGTGGGAGCTGCAGATCTTGAGTCTTCTCAGCACACAAGTGCCCATGGCATCCTAAAGAAGGCATCAGCTCCCCTGGGGCTGGGTTACAGGCAGTAGTGAGCTGACTGATCTTGGTACTGGGAATGGAACTCTGGTCCTCTGAAAGAGCAAGTGTTCTTAACTGCTGAGCTATTGTTCCAGCCCACACACCAGCACTTTTTAAAACTGGAATTTATTGAATTATTGGTTCCTGTGGTTGTTTGAAAGAAAATACCCCCCAAAAGGAGTGGCACTATTAGGAGGTGTGGCCTTGTTGGAGTAGGTTTGATCTTATTGGAAGAAGTATGTCTCATACATGCTCAAGTCACACCCAGTGTCTCAGATCACTTCCTGTTGCCTTTGGATCAAGATATAAGGACTCTCAGCTCCAACAATATGTCTGCCTGCATGCTGCCTTGCTTCCCTACATGATGATAATGAACTAAACCTCTGAACTGTAAGTGAGCCATCCCAATTACATGTTTTATCTTATAAGAATTACTGTGGTCATGTTGTCTCTTCACAGTAATAGAAACCCTAAGACATTTCCTAATGTTGCATAAGGCCTCAGGATATGTAAAATATAAAACCTCAAGGTCCTGAGATATCCCCTATCCTATACATTTATTGAACAGACTGTAGAGCCAGCCTTCAAACACTCCTTACATGAATCATAAAAGGAAAGTCTGTTTTAAACTACAGTTAAAATAGGTCTCAAACACAGACCTAGAAAGGCAGCTCAGGAAGCCGACATAAAGGCTCTGGAATGGTTACCACCAGAGGACTTCACTGTGGTGCTTGAACACCATTCTGTCCCTTAGGGTGTTACTACTTTGGAGGGGGTCAGTAATTTTGACAGACACACCTCCCTGAGAAGGCAGTGGTCATTGCAATCAATTAGCTTTATTATGATGCCATTTATTATGACCAATCATAACATAGTGGTCAGCGTTTGGATCAGCAACTGTCCGCATGTGGATATGCTGATACTGCTCATCAAGGCTGGAGTGAAGCTGACCCCACACGTCCTGCAGAGCCTCCTTTGGGTAAGGGGAAATACACTTTGAAAGAACAGATAGGAGTGTGTGTGAGCTGCATACATAAAGTCTCACCAACATGACTGCCAAAACATGAGCCAAACATGGACAATAGACATGCCACAGAAGACTGGAAAGATCCAGAGGCTTCAACCCTATGCAAAAATCTAAGCAACTAAGGGATGCTGAGAGCAGGAGAAATAGTTTTCTCCAGGTAAGAGCATATCAACTGGTTATCTAGTATCAAAGTTCTGTGCTGAAAACATACATTCAAGAAACATTACACAGACCCAGCAGATTATATTTAGGAATATATATATATATATACATATGTATATATATATATATATGTATGTATATGTGTGTGTCTGTGTCTGTGTCTGTGTGTGTATACATGTACATAATGCATACAACAGTGATTAATGAAAAGAGGCCATAAATTTGAAAGAGAACAAGGAGGTGTATATGGGAGGAAATTATATTATAATTTTAAAAAATAAATAATAGGTGCAAGAAAGATGGCTCAGAGGTTAAGAGCACCGACTGCCCTTCTAGAGGTCCTGAGTTCAATTCCCAGCAACCACATGGTGGCTCACAACCATCTGTTATGAGATCTGGTGCCCTCTTCTGGTGTGCAGATATACATGGAAGCAGAATGTTGTATACATAATAATTAAATAAATCTTTAAAAATAAATAAATAATAAAAATATATACTATATAAATTTTTAAGAGCATATACGAGTCCCACAAGGGGTCTGGGACAATGTCTCAAACTTGTTGTCCCTCCTGGGGAATAAGCCCCACTGTTCCTAGGCCTGAGTTAGATGTGATCCTCTTCCTGTAAAATGGAGGGAGTGAACAACTACAGAAAGGGGAATTTCAGTGAGACATGCTACAAGTTTTCTGCTGCTTTTCACATTGAAGATATGCATATTTTTATCTGACTGCTAATAGCAACTGTCCTCCCCGGGGGCCGCTCAGAGCAGCTAACTTAAGTGGCCTGTGTGTCCCCAATTACTATTTTTGTCACTTCATCCACTAATTCCCAATAAGATGGGTTTTTTAAAAGAAGCAAAATGCCTCAGATATTCTAGAAAGTGGGGCGGAAACTATCGGCCTCAATAACTCTGTTGGAAGAAACTGAGGTTACAGAACAGCTAGGGGTGGCTCAGTGCCTGAGGATAAGGCCATCTCAGCATGTCCTGCCTCCCAGGGAGCTGGAGAATTCTCAGCCAGGAGAAAGCACTGCACAGCTCACTAAGACAGAACCAACATCTCTGGGGGCTCACACTCTCTCCAAGGAGAGATAATGACACTCCTGGGATATGCTGGAGCCATAACACCTTGAGGCTGTGTTGGCACAAGTGAAAGCAATGATTAATTGTCCCTGGTGAACAGGAAGATACTGGGTCGTCCCTTCCAAAAGGTGACCTTCTAGAACTTGGCTCTCCTGTCTACCTACTCTGATAACCACTGGGAGCCACTTGAAGTACTGCTACCAAACAAGCCTCTCACCTCTGGAGGCCTGGGGCTACACCTGTCACAGTCCCCATGCACTGAAGCCCATATGCCTGGCCAGAGTCCAACCAGAATGATCAACAATCTCCACAATGAAGGTCCCTTAACCCTCTGCGGAAGCAGGCAGAGTGGAAATAAAGTTAATAAAACTTTAGCTACTCCTTCTACAAATGCTGTCCTAGAAATATAAGTTAAATGTAATGAAATGAAAGTTCCTTACAAACTCAAAAGCACTATGCAAATGTTAGCATCATTTGGGCGCAGTGTAAACATTTATTCCACACTTCCACCCCCACCACCATCCAACCTTCTCACTCACTGGGGAGAAAACTGCAGGTCTGCAATGCTAACTAAGCAGAAAGCCTTGAGAACACACTTGACCTAACAATTAGGAAAGTGCTTCGTAAGGACCAGGCTCCCTGAAGTCAAGCCGAGCTCATTAAGCATCAGCACTAGGTTTCTAAAGAGCCCTGTGTGAGCACTGTCATCTGCAGCAGCCACCAGCAGCAGCTGCAGGGCTGTGGGCTGCCTATTGAATCCCTTGCTCATGCCTAAAAGTTTAACAGGTACAGCCTTGACCAATGCAGCCTGGAGCAGGTTCAAGAGAGCAAGGAAGACAAAAGAAAAGAACAGAGAAGGAGTGACAGGCCTAAAAATAGCCCCTCTTTTTGAAAGGCCAGCTCTAACTCTGCTGTGAGCTTCCCACTGGAGCCTGTCTCGGTCATTATCATCATACTTGAGTACCCCATCTCTACCCATCCAAGTTCCTGACATAGCAAGGTGACAACTGCCCTGTACCTTGGTCAGCCACATTCTCAATGTTGACTTTGCGTTCGTTGGCCATGAAACCGATGACAGAGAAAATGACGAACCCAGCAAAGATGCTAGTGGCACTGTTGGTGCAGGTTACAATTAATGTGTCCCTGGAAGGAAGAGACCAGAGTTTGGTTAGGTAAACTCCGTGAGTAAGAAAGGATGGGGAAGGCCAAATGTGTGCCCATGTCTGTGTACCCACGAGCACGTGTGTCTACCTGTGGACTTATCATTCACACACATATATAACATCCAAGGAAAGAAGTAGGCGATCCTGAGAGCAGATGCCCTTCTGCAAATCCAAAATGCCTAAAAACTCAAATGTCACTTTCCTAAACCAGTATAATGTCTAACTGTATTCTAATTAGTCCTGATTTCCACAGATAAAAGAGTAGCTCTCACACCTCACCAAAAACTTCTTTCAGCAGACAGAGACTATTGGAGAAAGCCACAAAGAACAACTGACTACAAGGTGCCAGTCTCCATTCCCCAACTGATACTTCTGTAACACAACCTCCATACCCAAAGCTCAGAGACCATCACAGAAGAGGGGGTAGAAAGATTGTCAGAGCCAGAGAGAACCAGGATGTCTGCTGTGAGACAGTCCCTTCTGTCAACAAAAAGACACAACGTAAAGGAAGGAGAAGGAGGGGTGCAATTGGGAGAAGGGAGTGAATATGACCAAAATACATTGTGTAATATTCTCATAGAATTAATAAAAATATTATAACAACCCCACCAAGGACCTCTTGTGGGAAGCACTAGTGCCTTATGCTTAGCCCAGGGTCACAACTACTTCACAGGGCTAAATGCTCACATCTCCCCCAAATTAGTACAATGAAGCTCAATTCCCAGTGTGGTCAGATTACAAGACAGGGCCTTGGAAGAATGGCTTCACCCCATAAGTAGAACAATGTCTTCATGAAAGACACTATGAAGTGTGTGATGCCCTGATGCCCACCAGTGTGCAGCAACCAGGTACCATCTGGAGCTTGGAGGAAGACCTCACCACACACTGAATCTTCTAGCACCTTCATCCTGGAATCCCCAGTCTCAATAAATATGAACAATTCGTTTCTATGATTTATAAATTACCCAGTGTGAACTAGCCCATAATGACTATGATGTCATGATAGGAGATAGGTGATGGGACCTTGGAGAACTCTGAGACAGGAAGCAAATATGAGAGATAAAAGGCAGTGGGACATTGAGGTACCATCCATATTATGAGGGCACTTGGGGCTATGGTTCACAGGATTGAGAATGGCAGGAGAAACAATAGGAAAGATACAGCCATCGCTGCCTTCATGCTAGAGCAGTGGTTCTCAACCTCTAGGTTGTGACCCGTCTAGCAAACCTCTAACTCCAAAGATATTTACAATATGATTCATAACAGTATCAAAATTATAGTTATGGAGTAGCAATGAAAATAATTCTATTATTGGGTGTCACCACAACATGAAGAACTGTATTAAAGGGTCATGGCATTAGGAAGGTTGAGAAAGACTGTTCTAGAGCCTTCTGTTGATAACACAGCCAGGGTTCCCTGTCTGCCCTAGGCTCAAATGTGAGGTCTCAGACAGATGGAGCATTGGACCTACATTGAAATCCTGGATCCTGGTCCTCACTCTCCTCTTCCTCTCCCCCACCCTGGTTGGTAGCAACCACTTGCAATTTTGAATGAAAGCATATTTCCTATGATAGCTCCTATGACCTAATTACTCATCAAAGCATGGCCCTGAGATCACCATACCTGGTTGCTAGGATGCTTCATGCATGACCTAAAATGACCCTGAGCAGTTCCTTTCCACTCAGACTGCAATGTTAGCAATGGTGTCACCTCTCTTTTTCAGGGGCTGTGAACACAGAATAGGTGATGTCTGCAGCTCACTCAGCCTGGCACAAAGTGAATATGAAGAAAATATCTGCCCTGCAAACCCCTGAGCTTCCTAAAGAGCAAACTGAGGCAAGGGAGTGTTGTGGACTAGTTGCTAGTGGGAGAGAAATTGAATCAACTGTATCTAGCTCTCAGCCTAGGCCCCTTGCTGCCATGCCAAGCAACCTCATCTCTGTGAGGCGCACAGCAATGCTCTACCCTCCGATGTTATTCAGACCAGTTGGTCTCTGAAGCTGTTGAGCAGTGTGACCAAACTCTTCAAATGCCTGAGTCTGGCACCTGTCCTTCAAGGAATTATAGGCTGAATTTTGTATCCTGATTCTGGCACCTTAATCTTGAATTATGATAGAGATTGCTGTTGCCTATTGAGTACCTACTATGTTCAAAATACTCCTCTGGTAACTGCCTGCATCACCTCTTACAAACAAAACATTGTACTCTGTGCTGCATAAATGAGAAAACAGATGTCCAGAAGGTCACATCCTACCTATGCCTTGCATTTGTAGCACATGGCAATGCGCTACAATCTTCAAATGCCCCCTACCCCTATGCTGCTCCTTCCTCTTCATCAGGCTGTCTTTCCCATGAAACCCCTTGAAAAGTATTTATCAAGTGATCAGTGACCCTACTACACACATGAGTATTCCATGACTGTTTACATGGACTTCCACGGGACACAGCCAGACACAATGACCTCTCCAGGGATACACTGCATCCTGTAGGTAGCAGTCTCCACTCAGTGCCCTGGTCAGTGGGGTCAGCTGAGATGGAGGAGTTAGTGACCAGGCATTGGCCAGTGGCTCCTCCTGAGCCCAAAGCATATGTCTATCTCTGCTTGGTGTCGGCTGAGGCTTCATTTTTGCTCCTTTCACTGACCTTCCCCTCTGGTTCTCATGTCCACATGTACCTGTAGCAGTTGTTGTGGAATTTGTTGTAAGAAGAAAGAGTGATGAGCCCTCCCCAGGCAGCAGACAGTGAAAAGAAAATCTGAGTGGCAGCATCCTTCCATACCTGGAAAGAAGGGAGAAGAGTCAGGTCACTGAGGGAGACCAGCATGTCACCTTCCCAAGTAAATCGGAGGTGATCAGGGACAAGAGCGCTGTGAGCACACAAATGGGAACTATGCCTCTCTTGTGCCTGAGACCAAAGCAGGAATCAGCTGGGAGATTCTGTCTAATCGGAGCGAGGGTTAGGATAATCTATTGCAGACTTGTGTTTACATGTCCCACCACATCCAACCAGACAGAAGAGGACAGCCCTCTCACAAAGCACTTAACACACCTGAAGGATGATCTGTGGCAACAAAATATAGTCACGGATACAAAACAAAAATCTGTTTTAATTGACAGTCCTATGTATTATGACAATTGCTATTCAAAAGCTGAAATTCCACAGTCCCCAATCTCAGAAGAGTGGCAACAAAGTAGACAGACTTCATGGGGCCACTTCCTTCCTGGGCTTAGCTCTAAAGGGTGATTTTTGCTGCCACCCTCACAAAGTTCCAGGTCACTCAAATCTTTCTACACTGCATGTATATGGCATCTACAATGGACCCAGGCTTATCAATTTAATCTCGCCTTGAAAATGTCCTTAAACGGGGAGGTGAGAAGGCTTGGTAGTTAAAGTCACCTGCCAAAACAACTGAGAACCAGGACCAACATGGCAGAAAGAGAGAACAGACTCCTGAGACCTGTACACCACACACACACACATACACACACACACACACACACACACACACACACACACACACACACACACACACACACACAAATAAATGCATAATAAAAATTTTAACGTATTTGAAATAATGCAAAAATAGATTTCAAGTCTGAGGTTGGTAAAGTCCACATTCCCCCAGCAACCATTCTCCTTGTCTGCTCAGAAACAAAGCTATGATTGATGGAAAAGCAGTCGTGTGTGTCGAGCTTCTCTATGGGGCTTAGTGGGGAAAATCACCATGTCACTTAGTCTCTGGCCGATTGTGTGAAGATAAATTACTATATGTCTGCACTCTCTCTGCTTTCAGAGGAAGAATGCTTCTCTCTGCATCTGCTCTCACACCTTTGTGCTACCTGTTATGTTGATGTGGTGGCCGGCACAGAAGTTCTGAGGCGTCTAGTCACTAAGGAAGGTGAGGAGGGAAGACCAGACTCTTCATCCCTCATGACATCACAGAGAGTTGAACTGTCCCTTAACCAGCCACCGTGAGAATGACACCAACTACTATCTTGTTTATTCCAGCAACAGCTGGAGACTTTGTGGTATGTGCAGCCAAACTCAATTCTTCCATGAGTTTTTAATGTACCCTAGAAAAGGAGGTTCTCATCAAGGTGAGAAAATGCATCTGCAGATACACAATCACCACCACAGGAAGCAAGTTTTGTGTGTATGTGTATTTTTGAAAGTGTGATGTGCAAACACAGAGAAAGTTCAAATGTGTGCTGGTCTCGCATCAGTGTGTGGGAAGTATTCAAATGTGTCTGGGGCCTTTAAAATCCAAGACCTGCTCACACTCTGATTTTCCAGCCAGCAAAGCTCTACTTCCAACATGCTATAATTAGTAACAAATAAGTGGCATGAGGTGGCCCAAAGCTATCAAAGGATGCGGGCTTCATTAGGGCCTGCACTGGGACTCCAGCAGCAGAGCACTGCTTCAGAATCTGAAAGCCTTCAACTGCCCCATCAACACCTAGCACACCAACGTCCCCCAGACCTGAAGAGTAGGCATGGGGGTTCCCACAGGGGCAGGGAAGGCTGGCTCCTGCTCCACATCCAGGAGTGTGACCCTCCCTGATACTCACCCCACCCACCCTCCACTTCCAGTCTGCTATAATAATGAGCTCACCGTGGCATCTGTGAGTTTTTCCCACTTAGGTGTGATGAAGTACCAGATGCCAGCTCCAGCTCCAGGCAGTGTGACTCCTCGAATAAGGAGGATGACCAACACAACATACGGGAACGTGGCTGTGAAATACACCACCTGGAATAGCAGAGGGATGGAGATGTTGGTAAGTAGGCATCCCAGAGGATATCAATGAGGTGAGATGACAGGGGACCTGCCCCCCAGGCACACATGCCCAACAGTGAGGTCCCCCTGAACTCTGACCACACCGGAGACCCACACAAAACACTGGGATCAAAATCAGATGGCAAAGAATACAGGGTACTTTCCTTCCTTCCCTGCCAACCAAGCCTGGGAGATGTCACCCTGCCCAGCTACCCACTAATCAACAGTGTGAAAAGCCACAGGTGGGGAGGGAAGCTTTGTACTGTGTTCCCCAAAATTCCTACCCCATCTCTCCTGGAGGGCCCCAATTTCTCCATCCTTTTGGCTTACACCTTTCATCCTGGATTACACAGACACCCTAAGTAAAATGGCTTCACTGGGTGAAGAGATTGTGATTCTAAAATTAGGCATACTTCTACTCCAATAACATCCTATCTCTGACACTAAGGTGTGATTTTGAGCAGGCCCCTAAGGCCCCTGAACCTCAGTTTATATAGCTGTAATATGGGCACAGAGTTACTGTCCTAAAACAATATTGAGAATTATACAAACTGCCATGTGGAAGCTCCAGTGCAGGGACTGACCACAAGAGGGTCATTAAATACAGCCAAATACAGGCATCTGTGGAGGGTTCCTGTGAACTGACTGCTGCGACAGGCACCAGCAGTACAGAGAGGGGGTACATAATGGAGAGGACACAGTATCTGAATAGGGACTAAGTCACCCATAGGAGACTCGAGGGACTCAGGGGAAGTATGCAGTGCCCAGCCTGGGAGTATCTGAGGGTTCATGGAGATGTAGTTCAAGCTGGGTATTAGAGCAAGTAGGCAATCTCAAAGTATGGAGGCATGATGGGAAGGTGAAAGAGGGGAGAGAGTGAGTAAGGCAGGAACACAAAAGTGATGCTCTGTCCCCTCACTACAGGATGGCAGAAGTTCAAGGCCAACGGTGGAGAGAAGGGAAGCTAGGAGATCAGAGCACAGGCCCAGAGTGCAAACAGGTAGTTGTGGCTTCTGGAAGAAAGGGAGGGACTGAGTAAAGGAACATCTGGAGGAAATGTTAACAGAACTTAGGGATGTGTTGGATGAGGGTAAGTTAGTGGTACTTTCTTACCTGTCAACCAAGCCTCAGGGTGAAGGAGGGGCTTGAGATTGAGACTTGGTAGATGGGGACAGGGAGTGAACTGTGCCTATTCAGCTCCATAGTCACAGGGGCCAGAGTTCAAATCTTGACTACTCCACTTTGGGAAGTAGTTAAATCTCTCTGGACATAAATGTCATTACCTGCAGATGGTAGGAACTGCATGTTCCTCTCAGAGTGCTGTAGGAGCAGCATGAGAGGAAGAAGACTGACATGTGAGGCATCTGGATGCAAGGCTTCGGAAGGTGCAACTAGCAGGGACCTACAGACGAGTGTGAGTGTCTCCTTAAATTCACACCCCAGTCACTTTCTCACCTCATCCTGTCCATAGCCCCATGTGTAGGTGTTCTAGACCCTTGGTTGGTGGTGAAATGAGAGGGTTATGTTCAGCTTACACCTTGGATGTGAGCAGGGAGGAGGTGGGGACTTCTTGCGTGCTGCTTTCTCGAACGCTGCTTGCCTGGTCATGTGGGCTTTGGCATGCACCTGTTTCATATGGACTATCAGGACTAAATGTGAGCAGTAATGAATCGTGCTTGGCAGGAGAGACAATGACTGGCCTGGCCCTTGCTGGCATCCTCCTTGCAGCAAGAGCCCCCACTCAAACAGCTAACTAGGTTAGCTTGGCTGTGCTACTTTGACATTCTGGCAGAGTAGCCTCAGGGGTCAGGTGGTCTGCCTGCAACCTTCCAGCCCTTTAGGCTGTCTACTGATCATCTGTGAAGTTCTACCAGTTCAAAAGCGGTGTCTCCAAAGAGTCAACTTTGTCCCCTCAGATCCTGCACTAGAGGAACTGAGTTTACATCACCTTCGGGAAAGAGTGCATCTCTGTTGGCCAGGACAGTGCTTGTGGAATCTGCACTGGAAAGGAGGCAGTCACATATGAGCCCCTCAGTCCCACATCCTCTCTGGCTCTCAAATAACTATCTTTGATTTATGTCAACACAACCCAGGACAGGATGAGAAACTGCAGTTCATTATCCCTGCTGGCAGCCCTCATTTCAAGGAAGAAAAGAGTCCTCGTTGATATTTGATTAGAAACCTTCCTAAGTGAAAGAGAATTAGTATAGCAGTTGTCAATGACAAGCTTACTGGCTCCAGAGTGCTTCTAACTTCCTCTTCCCACAGACTACAAAATCCAGCCCCAAAGATTAACTTCTAACCACTTGAAAGAGCTAGCTGTAATGCCACGCCAACAAAAGCACAGACAAATGGAGCTTAAAAGAATCTTAGAGGCCAGGTGTGTGGTGCACACTCAGAGACAGCACATAGGCGGTAGAGACAGGCAGATCTCTATAAGTTCAAGGCCCGCTGATCTATATAACAAGTTCCAGGGCTGCACAGTGATGCCTGGCCTCAGAAAAAAACAAACAAAACAACAACAACAAAAACCCTCACAAGAGATTTATTTTAGTCCTAGATTTTGCAAATGAGCACAACCCTAATGCACCCTGGGACTTTCCAAAATTACAATGATAGAGAGAACTGAGACCGGCTGGGAGAACTGGCATCCTGACGCCTCATGTAAATGGGGATTCATGGTTCCTTAAGAGAAAGTCATGTAGATTCTAGGCTTTGCAGTATGCTAGACCCATGTTAAATGCCCCTGCTGCCACTTACAAACTGTGACAGCAGGCAGCTAGCTGAGTGCAGCCTGTCTGTAGACGGGAATCAGTGGACCCACACGGCAGGTGCTGTGAAACTGAGGTAGTGATGCATGAGGACCAATCAGTGGTGTGTTGATATGTAAGAGAAAAGGCTCCACTTCATCTTGTCTTAAGGTCAGAGAGATCAAACCTATTGCTCTCTCAAGGTTAAACAACAGGATACTTGGCCTAAGAAGTAACTAATGGATATCTTACTTTAACAACAGGATATTTAACCTAAGGTGTGGCTATTGTCTATCTTGCCTTGACAACAGGATACTTGGTTTAATGTGTGGTTACTTGTTATTTTGGGTATTGAGAAGGTAATTATACTTTCTTGTTCTTTGTATCTTGGTAAGGAAGTCTCTTTGCCTTCCCCCACTTTTGATTGGGGTATATAAAGACTTTGCCCCCAGTATTCACTGGAGTGTCTTTCTGATTCTTCCTGTGTCTCTGTCTTTTCTTTAGTACCTATAATTTTTCTATCTGCCATTTCTCATTTTATTAATTAATGTATACAGTGTTCTGTCTACATAGATGGTTGTGAGCCACCATGTGATTGCTGGGAATTGAACTCAGGACCTCTGGAAGATCAACCAGTGATCTTAACCACTGAGCCATCTCTCCAGCCCTACTGCCATTTTTTAATCCACACTCCCCCTCTCAGGCATGAACAAGGCAATGCCAGTTATGCCCCACACAGAGCTCTCCACAAGATGTCTACTCTTTCCACTTCCCCAGTGAAGCCATTTTTTTTCTGAGATGCCCAAGGAGATGACCATTTGCAAAGCGAAAGTTCTTGCATTCATGAAGTCTTGGCCATCCACCAGGTATTTTGCATGCATTCTTATTCCCTTGTGGAAATCTACAGGGTGTACCATCCCCAGGTTAGGTGGTTGAGGTTTAGGACACAGGTTCTCAAGGTTGACTGGCTTGTCCAAAGTTACACAGCTAGTAAGTGATTACAGTCTTTCCAGTGGACCTGATGAGGCCACATCTTTTCCATCTCTAGCCTATGGTATGGCTGAGCAGACACTTGGGTAGTTGTGCTAAGCATTCTTAGAGAAGATGGAGCTGCCATTCAGCTCAGGTCCAAGACATGGGAGGCAAGGACATCAGGAAGCCTCAGGCCAGCCTAGACATGTCTGTGTGGTCCTTTTAGCATCCTCCATCTTCCTATAGCTCCACAGTGCTCATCTTGAGCAGTGGGGACCTCAGGCTTCAACCCCAGCTCCCATTTTACAGACTGGAAAACTAATTTAGAGAATGCCTGGGCCCTGAAAGCTCCTTCAGCAAGTGCTCAGACAGAACTAGAAGGCCTTAAACACCTCCCAGCTCAACAACTTTCACTTTCAAACTGAGAAAATGGAAGTTCTCTGAAACAGCTAAGATGAGAATATTGGCTTTTTATTTGCTGGGGTAGAGAATAAAAGAAAAGAGGAAATCAAAAGCTCTGCCAAGTTTCACATCTCAGAGGCAACAAAACAAACACCATAGGGAACCTCCAGAGGTTTGGAAACCTGTGGGAGGAAAGACCTTGCTTTAAAAAAAATGGCAAAAGAGGAGAAGAGGAAAGAAAGAAAAAAGTTCACATAAAGCCAAGTTCTTACTTTTCCTGATGTCTTAATTCCTTTCGCCAGAGATGCGTACACAATCACCCAAGCCAGGAAGAGGCAGAAGGCCAAGGGCCACCTGATCTCACCCGGATACTCAATTCCTGCAGAAATCTTCAGCACAAAGTACCTAAGGATCAGATAGAGACAGAAGAAAAAGGGGGGGAGAGAAAGGAGGGGGAGGGGAGAAGAAAGAGGGAGGGAGGGGAATTTAGTGTCTGTGACCTTCAATCTCCCATTGGAGCATCAGATCCAGAAGAGTTAAACACACCCAGCACCTCCCACAGCCTCCACCTCATCAGGCCTCAGGCAGACTAGAGGGGCTGGCAGGCTGGCTCCTGCCAGCAGCTGGCTACTGAGCACTTGCTGGTCTCTTTAACTGTAAGCTGGGATGCCACGTGTGGTCAGTGGATGGATTTTGTGTAAGACAGTTGGCACATCATCTGGAGTTGCCACACAAAAAGTACAACAGGAGGGCTGGGGATGTGGCTCAGTTCTTAGAGTGCTTGTCTAGCCTGCACAGAGCCTGGGTTTGATTCACATACCTGCAATCCCAGGGAGGTTGGGGCAGGAAGATCAGGAATTCAAGGTCATCCTCAGCTATATAGCAAGTTCAAGCCCAGGCTGGGCCACATGAGACCTTCTCTCAAAAAAGAAAAATGAGAGATGCACAATAGAAACTGGGGGCTGGGGGATTGCTCAGTAGTTAAGAGTGCTGACTCTACAGTCCTGAGGGCAGGAATTTGGACCCATGTGATGAGCCCAGAAGCCCACAAACACTCAGAACTCCAGTTCTGAGAGACCTAATGTCCTCTTCCAGCCTCTACATGAGTATTTATATCCATACAGGCATACACTCACACACACACACACACACACACACACACACACACACACTCTCTCTCTCTCTCTCTCTCTCTCTCTCTCTCTCTCTCTCTCTCACAGACACACACACAATCTTATTTTTAAAAAAGAAGAAAGTCTAAATAGTCAAGAATGATGCCAGGCTTTTCTGTACCATCCCACTCTCCATGCGTGAGTATTCAGGCAGTATTACACTTGTCAGGTTTAGAAAATAGGAATGGCACAAAACAGGGACTCAAAATGCACCTCTGCATTATATTGACTAAAATGTGAAAGCACACACTGTGCAGTGCTTCCCTGGCACACATGCAGTCCTGGTTTTAATCCCCAGCACAGCATGAACAGGTCATGATGGTACGTTCATGCCTGTAATCCCAGCACTTGGGAGATGGAGGCAGGAGGATTTGGAGTGCATTTATGCGCAGTGGACTCACAGGGAGTTCAAGAGTGGGCCACTCCAACAGCACTGGCTCATATCACCTCAGAACAGATCAGCTAGAGCCAAGTACCCTGGCCTCTTGGCACATGGTGGGGCACCCTTTAGTTTGCCTCAGCCCAGCACTCTCCATTGTCTTGCTATTCCCTCATTTACAGTCCTGCCCACACCAGACTGCATTTGAACTTAGGATCTCAGTTTAGCTGGATGGCACTGTGCTGCCCTCCAGGAAGTGTCTACACCGCCCTCCTTCGAAAACATTCAGCAAGTACATTTCCCAGCTGTGGGGCATCTAGTAACCCTGAACCCCATTTTCAGCATTCAATAATACTCACAGATAAAGGACAAAACTCAGCCAGGCATAGGGCCTCATGCCTGTGATCCCAGCCCCAGACAGACTGAGAATTCCTGTGAGTTCAAAGTCAGCCTAGATGACCTGGTGAGTCCCAAGCCAGCCATCACTAAAGAGGGAGTACCTTTCTGAGAAGAAGGGGAGGAAGGAAAAAGGAAAGGAAAGAAAGAAGGGATGGGAGAAGGAAGGAAGAAGGAAAAGGATGGGGAGGTGGAAGAAATGAAGGAAAGGGAAGAAAGAGAGAGGCAGGAAGAAAATGAGGAGTGGAAGGAGGGAGGGAGGGAGGGAGGGAAGGAAGCAAAGGCAGAAAAATTTCCCCATTAAAACCCTGTCAAGGAAAAAAAAAAAAAAAAAAAAAAAAAAAAAAAAAAAAAAAAAACTAAACCTTGAACCTGGCTTGTGTTCTTACTTTTGACTTCTCCCTGGATGTCAAGTTGGGGAGGGACAGAATGACCTGGCTGGCAGATGTCTGCTTGGATCACATGAGTCAAGGTCAGAACTTTTTTCTCATCAGCATGATGGATTGCCACAGCACCGATCTCGCTTGTACCTACCATCACTTGGTCACCCCTCATTTCCAGGCCCAAGTGCACAGCAAATGGCTTTTGGAAGCCCAACCAGGACACAATCCCCCCTCTGATCCTTGGCATCTGCAAGGAGGGTGCAGAGGGAGGCCACCTGCCCCTCCCACCTCACAGCTCTGTTCTGCAAATCATCGCTAGGCTTACTTGAAGTACTCTTCACTCCCACTGACAAATGTCTTATTGGCCTGGCTGGTGAAGTTAACCATTGTCAAGTTCGGATAGGCGGTCATGCAGAAAGTTGAGTTCTTGATCTGTATTTTGGGATGGTCACTGACAACACAGGAATCTGTTCAGGAGACAGCCAAGTAGAAACAATGAGGTATATATGGAGAATAGACAAGGTCTCTCCCTGCCTGCTTGTGGTCAAAAGCCAGACAGTTAAGTGTTGGGGAATAATGGGGAAATATCAGCAGAGCACTTTTCTTACCCCACACTCTCCAGCCCTGCAATACCTTGTACTAATAACTAAAACCCACATTTACAGAGCACTGGAATCTTTAAAATAGGAAGATGGGGCTTTGGCCCCAGCAAAGGCAGGAGGATCTCTGTGAGTGAGCTCCAGGCCAGTCTGGTCTATGTAGTGAGTTCCAGGCCATCTAGGCCAATACAGCTCTGTTCTGCAAATCATCGCTAGGCTCTGTAAGACTCTGTCCCCAAAAACATTAAGTAATCAATTAATTTTTTTAAGTAAAGAAGTGGTCTTTTAAAAGGTCCATAACTCTACTGAAGTCCCATAGGTAATGAGAAAGAGATCAAAATTTAAACCCAGATCCTTAGGACACTACAGAAGACACTCGAATTGTGTAATTCAATTTCAGCAGGGGTGATTGTGCAAGACACAGCTCTTTTTTGTTGTTTTGGCTTTTTTGTTTTCCTAGACACAGTTTCTCTTTGTAGCCCTGGATGTCCTGGAACACACTATGTAGACCAGGCTGGCCTCGAACTCACAGAGATCCTCCTGCCTCTGCCTCCCAAGTGCTGGGATTGAAGGCTTGCACCACCACTACCAGGAGACATAGCTCCTTAAGTGCTATTGCTACAGAAGGCTTGCTAGCAAGTGCTCACTCTGGCTAGAGTGGGAGCAGTAGCCTGTAATCCCAGCAGTGTCAAATAGAGGCAAGAGGATCAAGGGTGTTAAGTTCAAATCCCAGCACCACATAAAACCAGTTGCCATGGCTCACATCTGCAATCCCAACACTAGGCAGGTGGATGCTAAAGAGTCAGAAGTTCAAGGTCACACTCAGCTTCACAGCAAGTTCTAGGGCATCCAGGGCTAGATTCTGGGTCAAACAAAGAACAATGTCTAAGCCTGACTTTGAAACACCACCTTGTTTGTCCTCCAGACAGCACACAGTAGGTACTCTGAGAACCTGTGCAGTGTCTTCCCACCCTTGTGAGATAGCAGACATAGTGACCACACTGTGTGCTAAAGAGCCTTCAACAAGACCTAACAGTGTGTCTCAGTGAATTTGATCATTGTGGGATATCCACACACATTTTTAATTTTTGCATCTGAGAAGCTGGGCACTATTGCCATCAAGTGCATAGAGACCAAGGATGCCATTGACTCTGCAATGCACAAGTCAGTTCTCCCACAACAAAGAAATGCCTGATCCAAAATGTCAATTGCATGGAGGCTGAGCAAGCATGGAATAAGGAGAGAAAAATCAAGCACTCCAGTGTGAGCATGCCAGGAAGCATGCTCAAGAAGTCTTCCTTAGAGTCTGCAAGCATAGATGACTTTACCTTCACCCTCAACAGGAAGAAGCTAGGATCTTCCTGGCCATCTCCCAATATATTTCTAACAGCATCATAAATAGACACACAGCTGGGGATTAGCTGAGGGGTAAAGCACTGGCCTAGCATATCTAAAGCCCAGGTTCCATTCCCAGCACCACAAATAGGAATGCAGGGATACAAACAGACAGACATTTTAAATAAAGAGCCCACCGGGACTCCCAAAAGACAGTTTTATCAAGTAGCAAATAACAGCACAACTGGCACTCAGAGGACTGTGTTTCAGAGCTGTCTGAAGTATTCAATGTCCATGGCCCTCACCATTACGTCACCCCTTCCGAGTCATGGAGTCAATTGGCACCCAGAGCTACAGCCACTTGCCAAGGTCACAAGTCCTGCCAGGAAGAACAGGGCACTCACGATTTGGAACCCTCACTTTGATCTACACCACACTGAAGTGACATCAGGGCTCATGAACTCAGGTACCTAGAGAGTCCAGGATGGAGGCCCAAGGAAGAAGGTACAAATTGGGGGTGAAGGTAGCAGTAGACAGAGTGTTCCCACCAATCCACATTGACATTTTCCAGGTAATTCTGGTTCAGATGCAGAAAGTGAATCTGCATGCAGTCTGCCTTTCCAAACTGAAAAATGTGTTAAAATTGTTCTAGATACGATGACAAAATGCTTTCGGTGGAGATGCAGAGTGTTCCCAAGGCACACCCTCTGTGAGTGCAATCACAGGGGCAACAGTAGAGGCTCAGGCTTCCACCAGGCCTGAGAACAACTGCTGGGGATGGATAGATCTCAATCACAGGGCTATTGCGGGGACTGAGTTAAGTGAGAAAAGAGGTTTAAAGACTCATACTCAAGCGGAGCATCGGTGGCGCACACCTTTAATCCCAGCACTCGGGAGGCAGAGGCAGGCGGATCTCTCTGAGTTCGAGGCCAGCCTGGTCTCCAGAGCGAGTGCCAGGATAGGCTCCAAAGCTACACAGAGGAACCCTGTCTAGAAAAAAAAAACAAAACAAAAACAAAACAAAAACAAAACAAAAACAAAACAAAAACAAAACAAAAAAGACGCATATTCAATAAATCCTAGCAGTAACTCAACCTCCATCATTGTACCTGTTCATGGAGTGGAGAGTGTTCAATACCACTTCCCTGAGAACACTGGCCTGCCTCCATTCCCTGCTGCTCCTCCCCACCCCAGCTATCACAGACTACTAAGTAAAGATTCGGACAACATGGGCTGGTGATGGTGCCCAGTTGGCGGAGTGCTCATCTAGCTGCACAAAGCCCTGGGTTTGGCCTCCAGCACCACAGAAAACCACGTGTGCACACCTATAACCCCAGCATTTGACAGGCTGAGACAGGTTTACCAAGGGTGTGAGGTCAACCTCATCTCAACCAAGCAAGGTTCAAATGACAGTCATAGACCCCTTCCCTCCTGATTGCTTCCTCAGACTAGGATTCCTCTGTGAAGTACTATGACTTTCCAGGTCAGATAATTCTTTGCTGGTAGAAACTGCCCTGTGTGTAAGAACCACTTGCTACTTATTGCTCATCGAATGGAAGTAGCCTGTTCCCTGGCCGGATGCAAAACCAAAACTAGCTCTGCTAAATCTTAGGCTGAGAACCTGTTTTTAGTTGTTCCTTAGCAACCACCTTTTTAATAGTCCATTTTTCAATAATAATTTACTAAAAAAGATAAATAAACAGCTTCAAGAGGGTTCCAGACTGACAACTATCAAATCTGGGAAGATGTCTTCTTCCCCAGCAGCAAGCTGAACCAGGCGATTAAAGTTCCATCCAGATCCTATCCGCTAAGAGCGCAGCCCCCACCCCACCCCTGCTTGCTTCCAAAATTGCCCTTGTAAAGACTCCCTAGAGTGAAGCCTCACAAGGTCAGGTTCTCCGCCGCAATGCTGCAGAGCCATCAACCTAAGCCTCCTGCAACGTCCCTTCTCACCACTGGGAGGCAGGAGCGTGCTTCCCGGCGCTCCGCCCTTTCGGTCCGCCTGAGAAGTGGTGACAGGCCATCTCATCAGAGCTCCGCGGCCGAGCAACCCCAAACAAAGAACAGCGATAATGATCAGCTAAATTGGAAAGCTGTTGGAATGGGATTCTCTTTACTCGGGCAATTATTAATAAATGAAAGCACAGGAAAGACCGGGGAGAAAAGGGATCATTTAATTAAAGTTCTAATGAAAATTAAGCCATTCCAGAAATAGAAATGGTGTTTATACTGTTCCCATTTGAGCTGACCCAGCTAAAGCCCTGTTTGCATGAAACAGTGGCTGGACTCATTCGGCAGGGCAGGGACAAATTGTCCTCCATTGCGGATCCTCGGAAGGCTGCCAGCCTAAGCAGTAGCCTGTCCCACAAGCTGCACCTTAGACAGTACAAGCTTTGTGACACAAGAAGCTAAGACAGGAGGATTGCTTCGGCTCTATAGAGCAAGGCCTTATCTTAATAAAAACAGGAAGGAAGGTCAAAGTAGATGAGAAGACTGGGCATAATCTACCTCTATCTGTAGGTAGACCCAGGGCTGGTCTCAGGCTGGAGTGGGCACAGTACTTCATCTGCATGGTGACTTAAGCAATCAGATGGCATGATCCCAACAGCACCAGGCATGGGACAAACCTCCATCCACTTTGTGTGAAGGTGACAATGTCAAGCCATTCATTCATTACCACCTCTCCTGGGAGAATGCCAGTCTGGGGAAAAGGAGGTGGTTATAGGGCAGAGGGAGTGTGCTGTATGGTCATTTGGGAAACACTGATGGAGGCAGACATCAGGCCCATCTCACAAAAAAGTCCGTCTTGGGGATGGCATGGGAAATGCTATTGTCTCAACTTCCCAATAGCTGTGCCAAGCAGAAGGGCTCTAAAGCCACCTATGTCTCTGCAGATCAGGCTACTGTCACCTTTTCTAAGTCACCTCAAAACCACAACAAGAGTGACACCCCTACGGAGGAGAGCCTGACTAGAGGTGTAGACTCCACCCATGTGCAGGTGATGCAGAGGCTGAGAGAGTAGTGGTATAGAGAGGAGATATTGATACTTTGTTTCCTTTAACTAACAAACAACAACAACAAATATGAAGCCTGGGTAAGAAAGCAGCGACTCATCCAACAGGCTCCTGGGAGTAACAAGAGTGAAATATGCCTGTGGTCTGTGCTCTGAGCTCTGGCTCTGTGTAGCTGGTGAGTAGACGCCTAGTCATGCCAGGGCACCATCCCTCTCCCTCTCAGGTTTACTTCAAACTACACCTGAAGAGAGACATGAAGCCAAACCAAGGCTGGGTCCTGCCTGTCTCTTGGGGCACCATCCATGCTCCTGGCCCAGTCTATCATACCCAGATGACTTTAAAAAGTATAAACACGTCCATATAAACTACACAATAAATGCACATCTATGACAGAAAATGGAGCAAATAATGGCCCAAAATTATTAACATTCTTTATGCTTTCCATCCATGTAGGTATTGCTAATAAAAGATAGAATTTCACTCTGAACATACACCTTACATTTAACATGATATGGGAAGGGTTTTCCCCATGCTTTATGAATGATTATTTTTAATGATTATAGATAGAATACCTTATCCTTTGTATGAGCCCATAATTTGTTTGAACTATGAATTAATGCACTAATTTTATGTGGACTTGGTCACATACTAAGTTCCTACTGTTCTCCAGTACTGTGACTGTGGTTGCAACAGACACCTAGATGGAGATAATCACTCCCTTAACTATTGTGAACATAAGCTTTCATATCTCACAGAATATCAACCATAAAAATCACTTAGGAAACACCTGGGATGATGTCACTTTGCTGGGACTTGATAGAACACAAGGACCAACGGTTCTTTAAACACCCTGTACAGGCAGAAACCTGGGGTCTCAGGGTCCAAAGTCCAAGCCTGGATCTACCTTGCAATTTATAGCTTAAGTTTGAAAATCCCCTTAGCCACCTAGAAAAAAAATGATCATGTCGCCTACCATCTGTAATTCATAGGGCTCTATTCAGGAAGGATGGAAATGTCATTTATGAACCAGCCTTGCTGACTGGGAAGCTTTCAGCACTGTGGTGAGTTCATGGCCTTCAAGGACATGCACACTTTGACTCCAGTCCCAACTCAACCAGACTCCTAATTCAGAACTTATGCTCAAGGGTTTTCACCTGTAAAATGGAAACAATGAAGAAGCGCCTGTGCAAGGTTGTTGTCCATATTAACACTGGCAATTCAATGAACGTTTCTCACAGAGATCCAGTGGAGGTGGCTGGTTTTGGTATGCTTCACAGATAACAGTGGACCTTATTGGTAGAATTGTGTTTCTGTTCCTTTATTTTTGTTTTTGTTTTTTGTTGCTGTTGTTATTCGTTTGTTTTGGGTTTTTTTTTTTTTTTTTTTTTTTTTTTTGCTTTTTTTTCTTTGTTTTTGGTTTTTTTTTTTTTTTTTTTTTTTTTTGAGACAGGGTTTCTCTGTGGCTTTGGAGGCTGTCCTGGAACTAGCTCTTGTAGACCGGGATGGTCTCAAACTCACAGAGATCCACCTGCCTCTGCCTCCCAATTGCTGGGACTACAGGTGTGCGCCACCACTGCCCAGCAGAATTGTGTTTCTGAATGACTCCCACTTGGACACTAGTCACTGTGACCATGTTGTGTCTCAGGCAAGCTCTGGGAAGCATCCTTGGAGCCTGAATCCAGACAACAGCTTGACCCAGCACTTACTCATAAAATGGGACTTTCCTTCCAGCCAAAGTCTGGCAAGAACAAGAAAGGCTCTGGGATGGGTTATGACATGAGGTAGATGTCTCCACTCCAGACTGCAGTTCCTGGAAAGTGTGCTTGCTCTAAACTTGGCAGTTGCTTCCAGGAAGACATTCTGGCAGCTGATTGCTGGTTGTGATTCTGGGAAGAGCTACAAAGTGGGTCTCTCCAAGATCACAGATTATAAGTGGTAACTGCTGCATAGGGCAAAGAAGGTGGGTCACTCCATTTCAAAACTGCTATCCTGGACCAGGAAGAAAGTGACTTCCAGCCTGGCACTTCCTACGTTGGCTTGGACCTGAGCAAAAAATATTATTTCTTTTTTGAGACTGGACCTCATGTAATCCACACCAACCCAAAACTTGTTATAAAGTCACGGATGACTTTGAACTTCCACCCTCTTGCTCCATCTCTGGGGTGCTGGGATGGTCATAGGCATGCACTGCTACACCACACCAAGTTTGTGCCATGCTGTGGATCAAACCAGGGTTTCATGCATCCCCAGCAAATACTCTCTCAACTGGGGTACATCCTGAGTCCAGATATGAGAAATTTTTGAAATACTGATCCCTAGACTGATTGCCACAGTCTGGTTTTTAATTCATCAATATTGTTCCTTAAGTGATATTGCTCGTTCACAGGTGATTTTGATATGCAACTTCCAGACTTGGGTGCCACTGTCCTACTCTAAGAAAACTATCAAGAGGTGCTGTGGAATATGAGTTTATCCTATGGAATATCTGTTTAATTATGCAAAGATGTGTTGCATTCTTTTATGTTGCATTTGTTTAATTCTGTAAAGCTGTGTCACTTTGCCTGGCTAAAACACCTGATTGGTCTAATAAAGAGCTGAACAGCCAATAGCTAGGCAGGAGGGAGAAATAGGCGGGGCTGCCAGGCAAGAGAATAAATAGGAGAAATCTAGGAAGAGTGAGGAGATCGAGAAGCAAGAAAAGGAGGAGAGGAGGACACCCGGTGCCAGCTGCACAACCACACAGTCACACAGCCAGCCACAGAATAAGAAGGAGGAAAGAAAGATATATAGAATAAAGAAAGGTAAAATCCCAGAGGCAAGATATAGTTTGGGAGAAACAGGATAATTTAAGCTAGAAAAGCTGGCTAGAAACAAGTCAAGCTTATGGGCATTCATAAGTAAGAATAAGTCTCCATGTATTTATTTGGGAGTTGGGTGGTGGGGCCCCCAAAGAGTAAAGAGGAAAAAAACTACATTTTGGCATTCCAACATGAGGCCTGAATTTCCACATAGGGTCTGAGAAAGCCAAAAGAAAAAAAAATGCAGCTCCTTTAAGAAACTCTACCATACAACAGAACACTTACACAGCCTTTTTCACACTAAGTAGAAACAAAAAGCTAAGTAAAAAATGCCTGCCACAGTGTAGGGCCCTGGCATTCCAGAGCTTGGGGTTTCAATGCAGTTCTTGGTCACCTACCTCACAAGCTTTAGGCTTGGCTTTCATGGACCTGAGGATGGGGCAGAGCCCCCAAGAGTAAAGAGTTTTAAAAAAAAAGAAGGAAAGAAACAACTAGAAAGAGGAAAACAGTAGAGATGAGAACACTAGTCCCAAGACACTGAGGGACACTTAGTCATACATTCAGAGCAGAAGCTTGTACTTGGGAACCTGTGCAAGCCCCATGCCCCATTCCGGAGCACTTTCAGGTGTGATGCAGTTTGAATCTAAGGGAAGCATCTACTTCAACACCATGTCTGCCTACATGCTGCCATGTTCCCCACCCACCCTGATGACAATGCAACTGTAAGATGCCCCCAATTAAATGCTTTCTTTTGTAAGCACTGCCATGATCATGGTATCTCTTCACAGCATTAAAACACTAAGACACCACTTTCTAGTTTGTTCTCTATTTCCTGATGCAGTCTCTTGGTTTCTTGCTCCTTTTACCATGCCTGCTGATTGTTCCTTTGCCTTCCCTCACAATGGAACCATAAGGCAAAATAAACTCATTCTTTCAAAACTCACCTTTGGCCATGGTGTTTTATCATAGCAACAGCAAGTAACTAATACATGAGGGAAGAACTCATTTTATGCTGTTAACACACCCACAGGGGCAAATAATGTCCAAATTTTTGCAAGGTATGGGCTCTGTAAGGGAAAGAACTGTTGGGGAAGTGAGTATTAGCAACAAATCACAGAGATCAGATGCAACTGGCCTCAGTGAGAACCCATCTTACATGGAAAACCACGTTATCCTGGTACCCATTTAAATGGCCACAGTTTCCCAAAGTGACTGACACTACCCACCACCCACCACCGCCATGGCCTTTAACACTTTGACAGCTGCTGTCATATAATGACCCCCCCCCCCAGTCCTTTCTCTGGTCAACATAAGGAGGCATTCATTTTTCTCCTTCCACCAAATAAACTGAAGATATATTTCCAGACTCCTAGACCCAGTGGATTTCACACACCCAGCACAATTTTCCTTTCTCCCCACAGCAGGCAGCCCTCTTCCTGACCCTCATACTATGTAGATGTCTAGCAGAGTCTGTACACAGATATCAGGGATCACATGTGTGGGATTCCTGGAGTCTAAAACTTGTAGCACTATTTTCAGAAGTCTTTCAAGGAGGACCTTGGCAAAAAAAAAAAAAAAAAAAAAAAAAAAAAAAAAAAAAAAAAGTCAAGAAGGCTTCCTAACTCCCTACCAGACTGACAAACACTCTATGAAACAAATCAAGGTCCTAGATAACGTGGTAAAACTGCCAATTTCCTGGTTTAAGCCCCTCTAATAAAGCCAGCATCCCAAGTAGGAGTGTTAACCTGCACATTTAACAAACACCAGCTCTCAGGAGCAAACAAGACTTTTCTCTCTCCCAGCCCCAACCATGAGCTAAGTGTTTAGAGTTAAGTGTGTTTGGATGTTTGAATTCACCGCTGTGCCTTACAACCTAGTAGAGGGCCTTACATGCACATTAAGTACTTACTGAATATCTGTTGAATGACTGAGTTGCATAAAAACACATACAGCTAAAGCATGCCCAGACTTACCTAGTAAAAGTTTGGTTTTATCTTTGCATTCTGGTGTGTTCCATGGGTTGTTGCAGGAGCCCCAGGGCAGCACAGATACAAAGGAGGCAAACAGGTAGAAGAGTGTGTAGCAAATGATCACGTTGTAGTATATGGCTATGAGGACCGAGATGATGAGCATGGCAATGCCACAGCCTGCAAAGGTGAAGTGCCTGTGTTATCATCCCAAATCCCATGCAAGACACACACACACACATACACACACACAGAGAGAGAGAGAGAGAGAGAGAGAGAGAGAGAGAGAGAGAGAGACAGAGAGAGAGAGAGA